AATTAATAAAATATTATTATTTTTTAATTTATGTTAAAAAAATCGATTAAATAAGAATAGAAAAAAAATCGTTCTAAATATTTTCAATGTCCATAGAAAACAGAGAACCGAAGACGGCAGTCCAAACCAAAAGGTGCATTTATTACCGTACGTTGTCGTAGTCGACCTCGATGATGATGACGTGGTCCTGCGACTGCCACGTCACCGGATCTGGATGGAACCCCGTCAGACACGTGGAATCACATCTGCCGCACACGTGGCATTATTGTACTGCACCAAAACTAAATATACTCTATTTATCGGCGGTTTTAATTATTTTTAGTATATTTCTTTTATAATATATTTTCTCTCCCTCCAAAATATTTTCTCCTTCCTATATAATTTTTTATTTTTTTTAAAAAAAATATAATTATATATTTCAATTTAATTTTAATTTTTTCTAATTTTAACTAAATTATTTAGTTATTTTAATCTTAATCCACAATTATTTTTATTATATAATAATTATTTTTATTAATATATTTTTTAATTACTTACTAATTACACTTTACCTAAATTCTTGTATCTACAGTAATACGTCCATAATACATAGGACGGAGGGAGTAATTAACTTTTATTATTATTATTATTAATAGTTAAATAATTATACTAATTATGATATTATTTTATTATTTTTTATATAATTAATAATATTAATAATTTTAAAATAAATTTAATATATATGATTAAGAGATTTTAATATCTATAAAATAATATTTATATTGTATATATTTTTTTATTGTAATATAATTTTAAATTATTTAAATATATATTCTAATTTTTTTTGGTTATATATATTAAATTTATTATTATTAACAAATTAAATATTATCTTACGTATATAGAATAAATTTTTTAAAATATATTAAAAATATCACCATAAATACTTATTTGCTATTGGGGCATCATATAAAAATAAAAATAAAAATAAATAGATTTAATTAACACATCACATAAAAAATAAAAATAAAAATTAACATAGTTGATTGAAACCATGCCTCGATAATTCATATTTATATTTTACATTGTATGAACAATTATTATATGGTATCGTTCTATTTATTATATTTATATTATACTTCGTTTGTTTTAATACAATAGTTCTGTTTATCATTTTCACTACAAAAAAATAATATATTTGTAATGGAATTATATCCCTAAAGTTCACGTAGCTAACGTAATTCTATTCTTATTTCCGTTTCTAATGTCATTAGTAACGGAAAAAATAGACTTAGAGTCAAAAAAATTTTGTTACAAAAATGATTTTTTCTTTGTAGTGTTCTATCCGTCTCAAAACAATAGTCTTATTTCCATAAAAAAACCATATCATTATAAAACTACATTTACTTTTTCATTATTATTACACGATTGTCACTACTTTTTACACTAATACACTCACAAGGGTAAAAAATTCTTTTACTCATACTTTTTACCAACTACCAATATAATACTCTCTCTATCCCGGAACTATAGTATTGGTTGTGTTGGGCACGAGATTTAAGGAATATTGATAGTGGATAAAAAATATAGGTAAAAGACATTTTGCTCTTGTGAGTGTATAGTGTAAAAGATAGTAGCAATTGTGTAATAATAATGAAATAGTAAGAGTAGTTATATAGAGATATGGTTAATTATTAAAATAAGACTAATGTTTTGAGACAGACAAAAATAATAAATAAAACTATTGTATTGATACGGAGGGAGTATCAATATTCTTAAATCCCGTATCAAACACAATCCAGTTCTGAAACGGAAGGAGCGTATCATTATGTATATATATTATATATATTGTTTATTGTAATATGGTAATCAACAAAGTAACTATAGCCATTTGCATCACATAAAATATTTATATGAATTAATTTTATTTTATTATTTAAATGGCATTCAAGATTTGAATTGTGTAGCAGGTGGAAATTCCAAAATAAAGACAGGATAGGGTAAAAGTAGATAATAATTTATTGCATTTAAAAATGTGACCAATCAATTCAGTGTAGTTTATTTCTACTTTTAGGTGACAAGTTTGTATCAAAACCCAAATTATTGCATCATTGTTCTGTGTCACATTATGATCCATACATAAGTAAATTTATTTATTATTATTTATAACGGAAAATTCGTAGTCGGTACTTGTCGAGTGAGCTCCGGATAAACCGAATATAACTACAATTATTTTTTTCAAGTTCGGCACATGTCAAAAGTTTAGGTACCGTTTGGACATGAATTTTTTTTTTTTTTTTTTTTTTTCTTTGAAATTTTAAATAACTTAGATTTAGCATAAAAGATGAAGTTATCAGTTGGGCTGACTTTGGGTAAGGGAGAAAGAAATACTTGTCGAGGGCCCATTGTAAAAATGGTCCATACATATTTATACTAATTTGTATATCTATAAATAAAATGAAGTTGAACTAAATAGAAGAGTATGTTTCTTGGATGAATTATTAAAAATATATATTTATTGTGAGTTTGAATTTTAAATAATAAATTTTGAGTCGAAATAATTATAGGTTTGGCATTTCGGTCCGTCTGATTTTTTTCGTGCCCCGCTTATTTTTTTTGGAAATTGAACCTACAACCGAACATATACAAGCCGGGAGCTTTACCATCAAATTATGTTTTAATTTTTGTTTTTATTTCAGAAATTAATATATGTATATATATTTATTAAAATTTAAATATTTATTTTAAAAATTGGACCGGGCAGGGCCGGATATAGTCCGACCTTCACGAGTCCGGGCACAGCCCGATCCATTAGCGTGCCGGCCCAGGCACGACCTAAAAATTTTCGGGCCTATCTTTGGAGGCTAAAACACGATTTTTTTCATGCTATGCTCGGACCAGACTTTTGGACCGTGGTTATTTTTGTCACCCCTAAATAATTGTTCGATAATGATATAAATATATATTTATGAAATATTTTTAATGTAAAATTATACTCTCTCCATCCATTAATAAGCTTCACATATGACTTTTGCATGCGAATTAAAGTAAATTAGTATTTTATAGATATACAGTGTAATAAAGTAATATAATGTATATTTTATTTTTGACATTAAAGTAAAAGTAATGTAAAAAAAAAAATAGAGTTATTTTGATATTTAGTCAAAAAAATTACTTTTACTAGAAAAGAAATAAGAAAATTTTGATTTAAACAAACTAAAATAGTAAAATAAGAAGTTTACTAATTGACAGAAGAAATATTTTATATAATATAAAAAAATGGATGTTTAATTTACTATTCGAAAGAGAGGGGGAGATATATTTTATGACTTGTAAGAAACCTAATAAAACTCATGATCAACAACACTCGGTCAAACCCTCGTAGATCCTTGTTTGAGGGATAGATCTTTGGTAGGTGCGCGTGTGCATTTTCTTGTGTTGGTAATGTATTTTTTTGGGCCGTGTCATCAATTTTTTGTTGAAGTTTTGAAGGGTATGAACCTTACTATGTAATAAATTTGTTTTATTTGAAGTATATGATGTGTATTTCATTTAACCGTGTTGTTTGTTGTTGATTCATGTTAGATTTGTGAATTTCTTGATGAAAAAAATTGAACGTTTACAATAAAAATTAGATTAAACTATAACACTTTTTTTTTTGTAGGAATAATTAAACTTTAAAAAGAAACCTTGTCGAGGTTGATTTGTAGAAATAATTGTTTAAAGAAAACTTATCGGGGGTTTCAACATATGACCTCACAGTTGAGTTTATTTTTATACTACCGGATTATCCTTTATGAAACTAGTGTGTGTTCTTTTTGTATCTTGAATGTTTTGGTACATGTTTTTGGATCTCATAACGGATGATTTAGTGGTGTGAGCGTGAACTCGTGATCGTGAGATCATAAATTCAAACCCGACGCATCACATCTTGTCTGCCACGCATAATTTGTCTAGTGTGACTTGTTTTGTCGAAACTAATTTACAGGCTATTAAAATCAACTCCAACCGTCTTCAATTATGGAGGAATTCTCCATAATTGGAGCAAAATTGCTCCAATGGAAACCATTATTTCCTCTGTATATGGAGTGTACAAAATTTTGAATTTGAATAGTTATATGATATGATATAATTATGTGTTGATTTGATGTTTTGAATGTAAAATTAATTTTTAATATAATATAAAAAATAAAAATAGGTATTTGATTTGATATTTTTGGAGAAAAAAAAAATGAATAGTAGAAATTTTGGAAAATCCTATTGCAATAAATATATATATGTCATTATTAAAATATAATATAAAATAAATTAACATTATATTACAAACAAATATTTTTTTGAGGTTAATATATAAATACATAAAAATTGAATAAAGATTATATAATTGTTTAAAAATACGGAATGTATGTGAAATATTCTAAGTTAGAGTGGAGTTAAAATCTAAAGGAAAATTTGAATTTCTTTTGAAAAAAATAGAAAAATATGTTGGAGATGGCCTATGTTTGGCCGCATAAGTTCGACCAGAGTTTATAAGAACTTTTGTACTCTCTCATTATCCTCGGGCCAAAAAAAGAAACGTAATTTCTATAACTTGAAATTTTCAAGTACCACCAATTACCATTCACTTTTGCTGCACAATGCGCGAAAGTAGCGCAAAGATTTACAAGGAGAGGAACCTAATCGAATAGTATTATACTATTTCTTCGCCATACGTGTATTATACATTTTGCATTCGACATCACAGAAAGCACAACATTTATTCTATACAATCCCTCTAAGCACATCGATTCTAAGAAGAAACTGATTATTAGTTCAATGGGAAGGCATTTTTATGAGATGATACAAGAATATACATACATAATCGAGTGGTCACACAATTCACGCATATAGTTTGGATCAGCAGACTTACCGGGATATACTATACACAGCTAGAAAGTCGAGTTCTTGCCTGATTTCGCCTTTTCCACGGATTCCATAGCCTCCTCAAAAGATTTCTGCTCATTAACACAAGCAAATGCATATATATATATATATATATATTTTAGAATGGATAATTGGATATACAACATTTCAATATCAGATTCGCTTAATCATATACCAATTCTCGAGAATGTAAACATATAAATATTTGGAAAAACTATTTTTTTAATCCCGTATATCATGTTAAAAACCATAACTAGACCCTGTATTGGATTAGCCCCATAATTAAAAAAGTTCGGCCGGAAATTGTGTGGATTATACATGAAAATATTTTAAGACCATAACTAGACTATATATTGGATTAATTTCATAACTAAAAAGCTTTTGTAGAAATGATCCTCGAGCATTGTCCACGTGTCACTTACACAATCTCTGGTGTGCCACGACAACAACTCTGGTGCCTGAGGACTATTTCGGTCAAAATTTTTAAGTTGTGAGACTAATCCAATACAGGTCTGCTTATGGTACTAAGATGATAATAAGATCATATACGAAACTAAAAAAATAATTTTTCCTAAATATTTTGAAAGATCTAAAAAAGATGTGAGACAAGTACACAATCGATCTGCTCCTACATTATAATTTCTTGCATGTTTTATGAGATCAAATTGTTAATTAGTACGAGAGTACTAAATTATGTGATGCAATCAAGTCCTGATAGTGATAAGGGTCGCAGCAACGCTGAAATTAGATATTAAAGTGTATATATTGTACCCAATGCTTCATGACATCAAATTGTTTACTTGACATGAGTGTAATAAAAATAATGTTATCGAATTGCCCAACAATTTTGAAATTCGATCTTAGCTGTATCTATACATTCACTTACATCACATTGACTATGATTCGAGAGTACCAAGTGATGTGATTAAATTTTGTCCCAACTGCGAAAGTGATGCAGCAAAGTTGAAACTAGATTCGAATTGTATCTACAATTAGAAGTTAGGATGTTAACTGGATTGGCATTAAAAATTTTCAAAGAATCCTATACGAGATATCTAGGACGGGATTTAATTTAAAAACTTGGATTCGACAGCAAGCCACTAAACACAGTTAAAAATCTAAGACCTGAATTGTAGGTAGAAATCCAAGCAAGAGAAATTCTTCTATCTTTTGGAGGAAAATGTTCAATAAGAAACTCTCGATATTTTAAATGATGGAAGAAATTCACAAAAATAAGCTGAAAATATTATGTAAGGAAACCAAGCGCATACTCATTGTCGACCAAGCTCGACTCTTAAACACCAATCAAATAAATTTTCAAACTTGTAATTTTAATTCTTAAGAGTTAAACTTGGATTCTAATTTACCTGATGCTGAGAGTGTGAAACCATTCGGGCTACATTTAATCACACTACTAAATCCACATGGTTTATTCAGCTCTATCACTCGAAAATCTACTATTCTAATTCAGCTCCATGTTACAATTTAACGTAGGTTTGATGCAAAACAGAAATGAACTTCATGGATTTGATTAATTCAAGAGTTCAGAGGAAGTAACAATTTAAAAAAGAAGAAAAGAAAAGAAAAGAAAACAATCGATATCTTACACCCGGATTATGCATTTTCCATAGCGCCTTGCCACTGGCATCAATAATGTACATCCCGCCTAACAATAGACTGGCACAAAAATATCCATCAAGCACAATTTAATTAAAATAAAGTTCTTGAGATACAAAGCATGTTATGAATGAAATAAACGAGTTCAGATAGACATGAAACCAAACAACAGGAAATGAACAAAGCCGGATATATGAGATTGATTGTTGTTTAGAAATGGCAGCAGCAGTGCTAAAGCTAAATAATTCATCAAAAAATAATTAAATAAATAAAATTCAAACCATTTGGAAATTTCGATAGAAAACTAGACTATGGGCCAAAATTAAGCTAATCAAACTTCAGAGATAATCAGATATGTTTTGTAGTTTACAACTTTGCATCTCTGTTTTAATGATCCGGAAAACAGATCGTAATTCCTCCATGACCAATCAAATCCTTCATTGAGAAAGTTGCTCATCAGATATGAGATGCGTATAAAACTTCATAAATAAATTTAAATTCATCTTGCAACAAAACAGATTCTGTCAAATAATCTATGGCTAACAGAGAATAAGAACAGAACGGCGCAATACTACTCATATTCGATTCTGCAATTTAGTTTCAAAAACCTCAAACTCAACAGATTAATCCCTCTTCATCTTGAAACAAAATACAGATTCTGTCGAATAACCTATGAATAACAGAGAATAAGAACCAAACTGTGCAATATTATCATATCCGATTCTGCAATTTAGTTTCAAAAACCTCAAATTCAACAGATTAATCCCTTTTCATATGCTCCACAACACTTTCTTTCCTTCCGGGTGTTTAGCTTTTGGTTTCAAAAGTTTAGGCAATCCAGATTCTTCCGGATTCAACCTCAGATGCATTTGTACAAACTTGACTATTTAATGGCGTAAAAATGCCTAACTAGAGCTTAAATGCTGCAAGAATCGGATGATACTTTTACAGCTTTAAACTATTGAATTCTCTATTATATGCTTTCATTTTCAAGAATGAATTCATACTGCAAAACTTCATCCAAAATATCAATGGCTATGTTATTTGAAAACATTCAATTAGCTGTTCTTGTGATTTAGGGAATTCTGGGGTGTTCTAGGGTTCATCAATGATTTCTACATCACAGATTTCGTTTCTAACCCAATCAATCAATACCTAATTCAAGCATACAATTGAAATCTCGAGCCCTAATATGAAGAACAGCAGAAACCCTAACAATGGAGGACAAGCAGCATAAAAGGGGAGAAGATCAATTACCCAACGAATGTGGCGTTAAGGAGGAAACTTCTCGTTGTGAGATACCTAATTCCAATTTCGAATTGAGTAAACATCCTATCGCCGCCGCCGCCGCCGCGTGTCCTTGCGGATCCGCCGTATCCATAACCGAATCCATACGGATTGTTGTTATAAGCACCGCCACCGCCTCCGCCGTGACTGTACGCATTCCGATTGCTCCGATGAGCTCCGTAGGCGTTCCGACGGATATTATAATCGGCGCGCTTGCCGTCGTCGGAGAGCGTCTCGTATGCCTCCGACAGCCGCTTGAATTTCACGGTGGCGGAGTCGCGTAGACGATCGGAGGATTTCGAATGCTTGTCCGGATGGAATTCCATCGCCAATTTCCGGAACGCCTGCTTGATTTCTTCCTTGCTCGCATTCTTCTGAACCCCCAAAACCTGGTAATGATCGTCCATCTCTCCTCTTCGATTTCCGCCTCAATCTCGTGATTTCAATCTTCAATTTCAAGGTGATATAAACACGAACAAAAATCGGCGCCGCCGCCCGCCGCCGTAGCGCTGCCGTCGTGGCTGCAACACAGCCGTGTATAGCCCCAACTCAGACTCCCCTGTATATCTACTACGACAAATGTACAGCGATCCCGAGGAGCTCCTAGGACCCGAGCACCAGACCCAGTCCACGAACACTGTTCAACCCCATAAAGTAAGACAAGTATGGACCGGTAGTCCCTGGACCGGTTAATAAATTTCCAGTTCTCCAATTAATATCTCGAATTTGTAAGATTTCAGATCTTCTTCTTCTTCCATCCATCCGCATTCTGGAGAAAAATGAAATTTTTTAAAAAAATTTAAAATTAAAAATAATTTCTCTTAATTCCAGAAATGCAGTTGAAAAGGATCATACACGATTCAGTATCTTATCTTCTTCATAGAATTTCTGCAGAAAATATTTGTATTTATGTATATGGATGTTTTTATCAGATTCAAAATTAGGGCAAAAACGGAGGTTCAGGATTGATCTGCAGGTAATCGAATTGCAATTCCGAATTCAATTCGATTGTTTTCTTAATCGATTGATTCCTTAATTCTCTCCGATTTGGGTTCCTGCAGATGATCGATCTGAAAAGGGGGGAAATGTTTCCGAATTATTTGAAGATTTTCTGAAAATGGGGAAGAATGTGATGTTCGGAGTGAAGAAATGTCTGAAATCAGTGTGCAATCATCCCTTCCTCATATGCACACTCTGTTTCTTGATGTTTATCCGCCGATCATTCCCTGTTTTCTTCTCCCTGTTAATGTCCGCCGCCCCTGTTTTCGTCTGCACGGCGGTTCTGCTCGGAGCGCTCCTGAATTTGGGGCGATCGGACGTGGCGGAAACCGATGTACACGACACGGCGGCGGAATCCGCCGGAAAATGCCGAGGATGCCATTTTAGGGACAGGAGGCCGCCGGACGTGGCCGGGAAGGCGGCGGTGGAGAGTCGGGAAGTAAGCGATCACGTCGAATCCGACGTCGAATCGTTCGATTCCGAAAGGGTGAATGTTGATTCGCCGCCGGAGTCGCCGTGGCTGAGGGTGGAGGAGATTCGGAGCTGCGCCGGCGGCGGCAGCGACGACGGAGATGTGGAAGACGATGACATGATGGAATCGAGCTCCGGATCCGGCGGCAGCACCAGCTCCTCGCCGGCGGCGACGTCATCAATGGTGGATATAATGCCGCTCGACGAGCTCCACCCGCTCTTAGACGAGGACGGATCGGTGCAGCTGGTGCCGTTATCGCTCCGCGGCTCTCAGGCCATGTCGGAAGTGTCGCCGGAGTCGAGCAGCGGCAACGAGTCCGACGTCGAGACGGAGACGCAGAGCGACGCGCCGGCGAAGCCGGCGATCACTTGGACGGAGGAGGATCAACGGAATCTCCAAGATTTAGGGTGTTCAGAGATCGAACGGAATCAACGTCTCGAAAGTTTGATGCAACGGCGCCGCCAACGGAAGTACCAAAGCATGGTGCCGGAGATGAACTTAATCGACTTAGAAGCCACCTCGGCAGGGCCACACAACGTCGCACCGATCGCGACGGGGAGGCGGCAAAATCAGAACCCGTTCGATGAAGGCAACGAGAATCCGGGGATGCCTCCGGTGCCGGGCTCGGCGCCGTCCGTTTTATTGCCGGGCCGGAATCCGTTCGACGCGGCGAGTTACTCTGGTGAGGAGAGGGCAGCGGCTCTGCCGCCGCTGCCGCGGCGGGGTGGAGGTTTTCAAGAGGTGTTCATGAGAAGAAACGAGAGTTTGATCGCGGAGAAGCTCGACGCTAAGTTACGTCCGTTCTTTGTGGCCGAGTCGCCGTTCTGTCAGCCACCGGCCGCATCGAACGACTCCCGGCTGAGCTCGGTGCCGGAGACGGCGTCCGTTAGTTCGGTCGAGGATACCGACGTCGATACAGGCCGTGTCGCAGAGGAAGTCGAGGTTCCAGAAAGTCGAGGTTCTGACGATCACGAGATAGTCTCTGCCGAGGTCGACGGGGAAACTCCCGAAGAGGAGTCGAAAGAGGAAGTTGGTTCGGGTTCTGAAGTAGTCGATACCGCCGTCGACGACTCATCCTCAACATCGGAAGCGAGTGGAAGAGTCTCCGACGATGACGAAGCGTCGAAAGACAGTCAGGACATCGATATCTCGACGCGAACCGATGCACCGGTCGACGAAGCGTCGAAAGACGATAGCAACATCGACGACGTCTCGACACATTCGCCGACTAACGAAGCGTCGAAAGACGACATCGACATCGATGCGTCGACACAAATTCATACGCCAATCGACGAATCTCAACACAAAGTCGAGCCCGTCTACGACTCAAGCCCCCCGTCGATCAAGAAGCCGCATCCCGAATCTGCCGGAGATTTTCTCCCGTCGTTCGTCAAGCAGACAGTGTCTCTAATCGGAAGAACGTGGGACGGGATTACTGGCGAATCGTCAAACCCTCCCGACGCTAAGAATCCGACCAATGATTCCGACGAGGCGAAACATCTGGTCGAGAGCCTACCAAAAGTTGTATCGAGTTCGATCGAAAAGAACACAACTTCGACATTAGACAATGACGATGACGACGATGACGATGAAGACTATCAAGAAGCAAGTGTGAAAATCTCGACGCCGTCAGCGAGGGAAAGCGCCGCCGTCCTTTACAACATACCGATGAACAATCCGAGCGCCAAGCGTCTCGAGGAAGTTCAGGTAACGAAAAAAAACTACGAAATCTTTTGCTATCTCTGTCTGGCTCTAAGGGTCATATTTATTTTTTGTGGGTTGATCTTGAATATTAATTATTATATCAAAACTTAATACAAATCGAGGGAAAAAGGTAAAAATACTTCTATTAGCGGCACTTATATAATGACGTTGTATAAAATTATAGAATATTTTTATTGTTAAGTAAATGACGCAAAAGCAAATGTAACCGCTACAATATTTACCTGAAACTTTTGTCACTATTCACCGTTAAAAGTATTTTTTTTTTTCAAAATATATATCGTATCAAATGTTTTTTTTTTTTTTATAATAAAATATTATATCAAATATTAAATTTTTACTGCTGCTGAAAATCCAGGTGCCGAACACGCCCGTTGACGCATTCGACAAGCTACGATCGATCCCGAATCTGAACATTACGAACATACACGAGCTAATCGACACGAGATCGCACGTCGGGTCGCCGTACACTCCTGACCTGACGTCGATGCCGTCCATGCCGTCGAGCGCTTCGAAGGAATCTGCCCCTCAGTTCAGCATGCAGACGATCCTCGAGGAGGTGTCCGAAGCGAACCAAACCGATGGCATGTCCGGATCAGACAGCGAAGGCGAGATTTATTGGCGGGCCCGTCCTACCGCCTTCGACAAATACGTCGAATCCGCGGAGGGGAGCTCGTCGCCAGACAGCCAGAAACTCGACGCTTCCGAAAAGCTCGATTCGGCCGACGGGAACAAGACGGATGAAAATCGAATCGAAGATGCCGGTGAACCGAAAATCGAGCCCCACGGTGGAGAGGCGGCGGTAGAAACTGGGAAAGAAAATGTACGATCAACGGAGGAGACGGACTGATAGGTAGATAGAGCGGGAAGGTAAATAATTTGAATTTGAATTTAAGTTTGAATTTGAATTTGAATTTGAACATGAGTCCGGTTTGGGTTTGAGTTTGGGTTAGGGTTCTATTAACCCTTTTGGAAAATAAGACCTGCTTGTATTTTTTTCTTTTTTTTGGGCCTTAATATAGCTTTGTATGTGTTGCTTGTTTATTGTAGAATGATTATAAGGGTTTCTTTAGTTTGTGTTTTTGTTGATTTTGTACTCGTATTTTAATTTTTTTTTACTCGAACAATATTGATTTTAATTTATTTTTTTTTAAAGAAAAACAAAGAAATAAAGTCTATGTGGTATAAAAATTGACATAATTAAGTTAATTTGTCCCTCCTAAATTGTACTCCCTCGGCTTGTCCACTCTTCATATTTTCGTTCATTTCAAATCATTTTTTCATTTTTAAAGATACAATTATACATACTTTATAACATTTTAAAATTCCTAATTTATATAATTCTTTTATTTTAATTAAATTATTTTAATTTTAATCTATAATTATTTTTATCAAAATCATAATTAATTTTATTAATATATTTCTTAATTACTTACTAATTCCACAGTAGACGGAGGAAGTAAAGTTTATTGCTTTTTTACTCATATTTTCTATTTGTAACATCACTTTTTAGCATTTTTTTTAAAAAATTTAATATAATACCTGCATTTTACGTTTTATCTACCTAACTTTTATATTAAAACATTATTATTTTTCAACCTCAGTAACCAAACAAAGTGTCATAATTATCCCTGAGGAAGTATTATTTTTTAATTTCCGTACCGGCATGCAATACGGTATAAAAATCCGGGACGGAGGAAATATCTCTTTACAAAAAAAAAAAAATAAAATAAAAATGACCATACCAAATAAACACACCATTGGATTTCCATAAATAGACAACACGAGAATTATACAAATGTTCGTCGTCATCGATTCATTACCTTAACCATAAAGCTATAATAGCAAACTCTTACACAACCAAGCGTACTGTAGAGAAGTCGAGACGAGAGGAAGTCGACAGGTTTAGTCGCCATTCAGTTTCTTCACGAGCAGTTTGTGTCGTAGCTAGCGAGCCCCTGCAGCTCCGGGCCTTCCAAACGAGGATTGTTCTCAAAACTGACAAATCATCCCAAAATTGTCAAGTGCGTAGAAGAAAAGACAACATATGATAAGCCGAAGGAATTTTAAAATATGTAATGCTACACGAAGCACAAATATAACAGGACAAAACTTTACAGCCTAATCGCAAACATGATATTATCAAACAACTTAAAATATCTTTGTCGCCTAAATGCTCAAATTGAAAGAGCTTTACAGCTTTAACACATAATAGCGCCAAACAAAAAATTTGGGTGGAACGATTGTTTATAAATATTATTTTTTAAAAAATACAATACACACATTAACACAATATATAATATATGGGCATGGATCAGCTGTTGATTCAGTCAAATCAGCATGGTGTTGATTTGATCAGATCAGCATATGCTATACGAATAATCAACATATATTTATATATATCTCATCATATTTATAATGCAATATATGTTATATTATAACTCAGCATATATTGTACTATGTGTAAATATATGTTGATTATGTGTATGAAATATGTTGATCCGGTCAAATCAGCACCATGCTGACTTGGCCGAATCAACACAGGATCCACAACCATAATATATATACTTTATTCACTCATAAAAAGTCAACAATTAACATAAAATATTATTTTATATTACCTACCCAATTCAATATACGTAACATAAAACACATTCATTCAAAAACACAAAATGAAAAAAATCTTTTTATATTTATACAGCGTAAACACAAGCATAATAACAGTAAACATTTTAAAGATAACCATATCGCCTAAAAACTTAAATTGAAAAAGCATATGCTTTTATATATTTACAGCGTGAACACAAACATGATAGGCTAAACAATCTTAAATAATTGCATTGCCTAAAACCTTAAATTGATCAAACAAAAAAAAAGGAATGATTTACCATGTTTTGATTAGCATGCATAAGTATCAATGTATTGTTTTATATTTATTGATATTCCGCTAAAAAATACGACCAAAGGCAGCCATTGAAGACACGAAAAAAATTAATAGCCAATTTGAAGAAAAACAAAACAAAATAGGCCTTGAGCTGAAAATTTAGAAAGATGAAAGGCACTACAAATTGAGTGTCTTACTTGTGTAAAGGAACATGCTCGAAGGAGCCAGTAGTAGGTATTGGGCCACATAAATTGTTATTTGACACGTCCCTGGAAATGGAAAGACGGGAATGTAATAACAATATTGAACAAAGTATTAGGGATGTAAGCTTGTAGTTGGATCAAAATTTAAAAAAAAAAAAAAAAAAACACTTACACAACTTTCAAGCTCGATACACTAGCTAGTGTCCTCGGGATAGGTCCAGTGAGCTGGTTATCGTTTAGACGCCTGTTGCAACAAATAGAGGCTGGAGTTAGGATTTGTTGAGCCGGAACACACAATTTTGCATAACATTAAACCCAATAAGAAAAATACGAGCCGGCATAGTATTTAACATCTCCAAAACTATCAAACTATTAGAATTACTCGTATGGAATCGGATCTTGTTGAAACTGCGCTGTAGATACGAACTTACAGAAAGACAAGGGATTTCAAATTTCCCAGCGACGGAGGTATTTTTCCTGAGATATTGTTGTTGTATAGGTCCAAACTGATCAACTTCTTTAGTTTACCAAGCTCTGAAGGAATCGATCCTTGGATGTTATTTCTGTAAAGCTCCCTGCAAGATCAATATATCATGTTTTTACTGTTCTCGGTGGGATGTAAGACAATCGAGGTATTTCAAAATAAATATTTGGGAACAATCAAGTCGCAGAAAAAAAAAAAAAAAAAAGAAAATCATTCATGGAGGGGTCACAAATGTGAGTTAAGACATTGTCGAATTGGAAGTAAGATATTGTGCTTACAGATATTCGAGATGCTCGAGCTTCCCGAGCTCCGGCACTAAATGTCCAGATAAATTTGAGTTTCCGAGATCCCTGTTTAATTGATAAGTTTAAACATCACGAAGCAAACAAAAAGGATAGATCGACGAGATGATTGGAACTGAAATTTTCACCCACAATTGATATTAGCTAAAGAGAAAAAATATATGCTGCATTAGGATAACTTCTTCGAAGAACTTTTAATTTTAAGACAGCACATCCATGGAGTAGCTACACACAATTAACATTATATATCTATAACATAAATATAATACATTATTTAATTCCAACTGTTCACATACACATTTTTGGAAGTTTTGTAACTACTCATCAATAGCAATTTTTTGAAAATCAAATACAAAACTTTTTACTATTCTTAAAATTTTTCAAAACTACAAAACTCAAAAAACTTCTATCTAAATGGCATCTCCTATTGAATTTTAAATTATTCATATTCACAAGACACTGTGGTTGTTTTCCTTTGTAGATTTCTCACGAGATTTTTCCTATTCACTTTATGTTTTTCCTCAAAAAATATTAAAATGAAAAATTATTTTTCATTTTATATATTATATTAAAAGTCAAATGTACATTAAAAAATCACATCTAGCGTCTATTTATATCACATAAAAAAAAAATTATTCAAATTCAAACTTTTACTATTCAAAAATCAAATCCAACTTTACCTACAGTAAAAATTCATTTAAAAAAAAAAAAAAACATTTTCCATTGAACACTCCAAGAATGCATCTAGACACAGCAAAAGTCCGGGAAATAGCCAAAAGGGCCAGAAGTCATTTAATCGTCTTGGTATGACACTACATCAAAATATTATAGTATTATACATTTTTAAGTCCAAAAACACAACATTTATCGTGACTATGTTCTCAGCATAATCATAGTCCCATGGATGGTATGGCTAAAGCAAAGGCACTATTCGAAATACACAACTAAATCCGTAAACTACTAATTTAAAGAGTTCTATCCACCAAATCAACAGAATTACATGATTCCGTATATGTTCCTAAGAATGAACGAAGAACAAATCCAAAACAGTACACACAAAGACTTATAAAAAGGATAGAAATTAAAGCATCATATTTTCTACATTGAGATTAGTGAAAGTTCCCATTTATACTAATAAGTTATAATAGTAAGCTAGGAAACAAAATCAAAGTATTAAAATTACAAATAACATAACATGAGTATGCTCTAGAAACGGCGATAAATAGTTTATATTTACTTCTAGAATCTACGGTAGCATTGTGTTAGTTTTAATGTATTTTAGAGAAAAAGATAAGTAGGTGTTTGTTTGGTTGTGTTTTCCTATATCTGTTTTCACTATTTATGTACAGTAACTTATTTTTATCCTTTCAAAAAATATCATATTAAACACCTGTTTATACTAGAACAAATAATAATTTCAATTTAAAGTTTTACTATTCCAAAAACCCAACCATATGAAAAGCAATATTTTACAATATTTACCAAGAACTCTATAAAATGCTATAATGTGTTACATATATTAAAATTATAGTAGGTTTTATATTTGATTTTAGTCCATATTACATTTACTCCCTATAATAAAAACATTTTTTATATTAATTGCAACCATACAATGTTTAAATTCTAACGAGTTATATTAGAGCAACATAGTGGACAATACTTTTTCAAGGACTCAAAGGCTGCGTTTGTTTGGGTTTTTATTTGTATTTTTTTACAAGATTTCTATTATTCATGACATTTTATCCTAAGAGAACATCAAATCAAATACTTATCTTTTTATATATACATTATACTATAAATCAATTTTATATTTAAAATATCATATCAAACAACTATACGAAACCCAAATCCCCAAATAAACACACCCGTAGATTCTCCTCTATACAAAAGCTAGGGGATTTCATGGCACCAGGAGGTTGTTGCTTGTTGTTTCTATTGCAAGTGCTCTTGTATACTACACGAAGACTTTTCACCCGGACAACATTCTTGCTCTTTCATTCTCCTCAAGAACAAGTCCATAAAGTTTCAAATTCTTGGCCCGGAGCACTTAATTCCAACAAAAACAATGTCCAATAGATCATGGCTTCCCTCCCCCTACGAGCATTTCCTAAAATAGATAGACACGTCACGGCTGAAGGTAACACTGAATAATGCAAACCAAGCAGCGTCAAAACATTCGTAGCATAGAACCAAAGCCATAGATCACTCCAACTTTTCCATAGATACATCTCAATGGCATGTCATTTATGCCATCTTTACTATAGGTATCCATTGGCAGGGGATTTTGTTCATAATCCTTGACTCCCATTGCTGCTAGCTTACCTTAAAAGCCAACAACAGCCGAATCAGGGTGTTCCTAACCATAATGACGCCAGCATTTTGACAGCCATTCTTTAAATGCCAAATCGAAACCAGAATCCACGTGCACCACAAGAACACTTGCAATTGAAACGACAAATAGCAGATCTTACATCAAATTTGTGTCCTTAATAGGGGCGAGTATTCAGATATATGGCTCGAATTTTGACAAATCCAAAAATATGAATTTTTTTTTAAATATTAGACAAATTTATTACCTAACATTTAATACTAAAGAACAAATATTAAATACAAAAAGTTCACAAATAAGAACTCACAAAGCATGCAATATGTACCAAATTTTAAAAAAATTCAATACAATCCAAACTAAAATTTAAATTTCAGTTGGGTTCGGATTACATATTCGAATTTTGGATATTTTGCTCGTCCTAGTAATCAACGAAATCTTATAACAATCTTGAAAACAGCCATTTTCACTGCTCAAATTTGAGAATTATACTCTAAAAGCAAGCTCTAAACAGAAAGTATGATAACCAAAATATGGAATCAAAGTCTGCCCTAACAAGCCAAGGCAAATCAAACATTTCCTCTGCAAATTCAAATTCACCAAACAAAAATATTCAATCGAACGTAAAAACCACAGAATTCAAACCCAAAAACATTTAATATAAGCAAAAATCGCAAAGGAAAACCAGAGTTATAACAGAAACACATACAATCGAGTAACGCGGCTGTCCTTGTTGCAGGTGACGTGAAACCATGTGCAGGGCGTCACGAGGTTCGGATCCCAGCTCTCCAGCACCTTATCGGGGTCCGACAAGCTCCGGCGGAGCGAGGAGAGCGCGTCGCCGTCGGAATTCCCGCACGCTTTAGGCAAAACCAGCGACGCTGCAAAAATAGCTAGGGTTACGGTTACCGATAAATCGACGGCGGCCATAGCTCCGTCGGATCTTGTTAATATCGCCGGCGTAGTGCCTCCTCCGGTGGATTCGATCGTCCTCTTCCGCGTAACCAGACCAGACCACCGCCGCGACTTTGTGCGATAAAAAATGGCAGCGAAGAAAGGAATGTGCGGTGTTTGCGAAGGAGGACAATAAATGTGAAAAGTAGTTGCAATTTTTGGAAGAGACCAAACACGTCCTTATCATCAGACTTTAGTTTTTAGAGAAGACCTTAAAGCAGTCAACAGTCAATAATAGCTTTACCAGGTCATAGATGGTGGCCTTTACTTTCTTTTTTTTCTTTTTTTTATAAACTCTGTTTTCTTTTTTTATTTTTAACTTTTTTTATTATTTTAAAATTTTAAATACGAGAATAAATTTTTGATTTTTTTTATAAAATGGTTTCTGACGTCGAACTTGCCGCGTTAGTCGCTGTTGACATTGTTTGTTCTAGTATCATATTTTTTATTTTATTTTTTCTATCATTTTAGTTCCTTTCTATCCTTTATCCTCTGTAAAAAAATTTTTTGTAAAAAATAAATATGAAATTAAATATTTTTATATTATATTATAAATTAATTTTATATTTAAAATATTTCATCAATTTCTAATTATATTTAATTAAATAATTAATTTAATTCAAAAATTTTATTATGTAAATTAAAATTCAAAATAGAAACCAACTAACACATTTCTTTTCGTTTCTTCTACCTTCTTTTTTATTTTATTAATTAATATAAAATATAAAAATATCTTTGCTATTTTATATATAAGTTAATTAAATATGTACAAATATACTTGTATTTTATATAAAAATTTAAAATATATTTTGATATTAATGTATAATTATTTATATTATAATAAAAAAATATTTTTGAATAACAACATATAAAAATAAAAAAATAATACTTTTAATTAAGAGTGAGTATAATTTTATTTTATTTTTAATTAAAAGCACATTCAATAGTATATTCAAAAGCAATTAAGTAAATACTCCGTATGTTTCATAATAAAGTATTTATTTTTTCTATTTTATTCCGTCTTTATAACAAAGTATTCATTTCTATTTTTTTTTTAATAATTGTATTATTTACCTAACATTACAAATACTTTTACAACTTATAATATATTACAAAAATGTCATTACCTTTATATCACACAATATTAATAAAGTTATTTTAGTCATTTCTACTTTATTCCTACTATATTCCAATATAATACTAATATTTCTAGAACCTCGGATAAAAAGCAAATTGATACATAGTTATGAGATAGAGGGAGTATAAAAATATATGTTATATACTCCCTCCGTCCTATATAATTTGTTCCTATTTTCTATTTTCGTCCGTCCCATATAATTTGTCATTTTTATTTTTGGAAATATAATTATGCACTTTAATCGCCTTTTAAATTTTAAATTTTATAATTTTCTTAATTTTAATTAAACTATTTACTTATCTTAATCTTAATAGATAATTATTTTTACTAATATAATTTTTAATTACTTACTAATTATACTTTACCTAAATTCTCGTGTCTACAGTAATACACTCATATTACATGGGATGGGATGGAAGGAGTATTATATTAAAATGTGATATTGAATATAGGGCTGACAAAAATTAACCCGACCGGAACCTGACCTGAAATAGTTGGGTTTGGGTTGAGATTTTTGACCCAATTAATAATTGGGTTAAACCCGTTTAACCCATTTAATTAAATGGGTCAGGTTAAGATCTATATTTTGACATGAAAATAACCCTTCTAACCTGTTTAATTAATATTATTTTAAATTTAAATATATTTTTAAAATTTTATCAATACAATTCAATATTTATAGCCAATTTTATAAAAATAAACAATAAAAAATAAAGGATTGTGTTGTGTACTATTATGTAGTTTTTGTATATTCGATTCTTGAATATCGGTTTCATGATATGAATAAATAATTTTTTTGCTTTAATATGTATATATATTATGCATTTAAAAATTTTGTTAGTATAAATTGTAATTTTAAATTAAAATTTAAATATTCTAGATTTAATTGGGTTATATGAGTCAAATTCATATTGACCCGATTAATAAAAGGTCAGATTAAGGTTGCAAATATCAACCCATTTAATTAAACAGGTCAAATTTAGGTCAAGACTTTTGTAACCCGTTTAAGCTGACCCGAACCTGAACCTAAGGTACTTTATATATTAATATATACTTATTGAATCAAATCATCGACATAATAACCAAAGCACGACATTAGAAGTACTAATCATGTCATTTTGACGGGACACGAAGATTAATCAATATTTTAATACAAAAATAGAGTAAATAAAAAATGATAAATAATAGTAATATTAAATAAATGATAGTAAAAATGATGTAATTATATAAAAAAGATCATTTTTATTTTTTAATTTTATTGTGAAGTTTCGAAACTTAATGTATATTCTCTATATTTAAAAATTGTATAATGTCTTTTATATTTTAAAAAATATTGTATAAATTTTTTTTTATATTTTCCGCGTCTAAATTTTAGATAGCAGAGATTTCATACAATAATTTTCAAATATAAAGAGGTAGAATAAAGAGGTATATTGCAATTTTTAAAATACAAACAAAATTTATGTTGAATTTCAAAATTACTCAAAAGTTACGAATAATTTTACCTAAAAAAAAAAAAAAATAAATTGTATATTATTTATTTAAATAAAATTAATAAAATTATCAATGAATAAAATTGTTTAATACAAATAAATTGTCATAATTAATGGCCAGAAATATTAAACATATATTTCTTTTGCTATAATTTTTAAGTTTCTATCATTTGGACGGGATATTACATATATTATTTTAATATTAAATTTAAACTAAAATTTGTACCGCACAGCGTGTAAGCGCAAAGCGGGAAGAAGTTTCGCGACGTCAAGACAAAGATTGAAAAAAAAAAATAAATAAAAAAATAAAAACTGTCGAATATTAATTAATTTGTTTTCCGACGATCGCTCTGTATATTCATTTCTTCTGCGCCATAGAAAAGTCTCGTCTTTCTTTTGCGTGTCCTTTTTTACCATCGCATCCTACCTTTGTCCCCTTCCGATCGATCCATCGATTTACAGACGCGTTGCTGGGTAAATTCCTTCCCTACAAATACCCCACCCCCGCCGGAGAGTCTCCGCACACCCCAAATTTCTTCAGGATCCATCGATTAATTGTATTTGAGTTCGAGCTGCGTCGCGGAAATGGCGGATCAGTTGACGGACGACCAGATCTCCGAGTTCAAGGAGGCCTTCAGCCTGTTCGACAAGGATGGAGATGGTTCGATCGGTTTTTTTATTGCTTTTGATTATCGTTGGTTTCTTCCTTCTGCATTGATTGTTTATCGTTTCTGTGAATGCTGAATTTGGGGATTAGGGTTTCTCTATTGTGCGCCAGATCTGGTTTCTGTTTGCTTTGATTAAAATTGAAATCGGATTAGGGTTATTTTGATTGGTAATTGCTTGAATCATCGGAATGATTTCTTCGTCTTTGCGGTTAAACCGTGCCGAATTTGGGAATTAGGGTTTCTGTATTGTGCGTTAGATCTGGTTTCTGTTTGTTTTAATTAAAATTGAAATCGGATTAGGGTTATTTGATTGGTAATTGCTTGAATCGTCGGAGTGATATGTGTTTGTTCGGTGTTTGGATTTTGGGGTTATAATTTGATACGTGATGTTTTTTAATGTAAAATTGATTTTTATTATGATAAGTTTGATTTGATGTTGTTTTTGGAGCCAAAAATATTTCTGAATAGTAGAAATTTTGGAAAATCTTACGAAAGAACACACCCAATGACATTTGATTAATAATTAGTTGGATGATACCAAACTTATTATTTTTAATTTCGGTTGAAAGAAATATACCTATATGGTACGGCCTAATGGGCAATTTTGAATTATCACTATGCTATGGTATATAGTATTTGTTGTACTGAATTTTTTGTATAGTGATATACGATATTCAGTATAAATTTTAGTATGTCATACCGAACATCCTTAATTTGAAAACGTTTCGTATAGTTGTAGTCACGATTTTCGATTCGGGTGTGTTTGTTTGAGGGTTTGGATTTTGGGATGAGATTTGAAAAGAAAAAATTCTGAAGTTGAAATATTTGTATGATGTGATATAAATAAAAATTGACGTGATATTTTGAATATAAAATTGACTTTTAGTATAATATAAAAAATGAAAAATAAGTGTTTGATTTGATATTTTTTAGAGGGGGGAGGGGAATTTTGTAAGAATAGTAGAAATTCCACAAAATCCTTCAATCTAACACATCCGAAGTACTTTTCTTACTCAAGCATAGAGCTGTTAAACGAATCGAGTACCTGGCAAGCCAAGCTCGACTTGGCTCGTTTATAGAGATAAACGAGTCGAGCTCGAGCTCGAAAATTATTCTTTTTACAAACGAGCCGAGCTCGATCTCGGTTCACGAGTAGCTCAAATGAGCTCGTTAGTGACAATTAATTTATATTATTTATATATTAATATAATTTACAGAGATAAACAAGCCGAGCTCAAGCTTGAAAATTATTTTTTTTACAAACGAGCCAAGCTCGAGCTCGGCTCGCGAGTAGCTCAAATGAGCTCGTTACCAATAATTAATTTATATTATTGATATATTAATATAATTTATAGGGATAAACGAGCCGAGCTTCAACATGACCCAATTTTCACCTTATATACTATTCCCATTTCACATTTTGGCTTCCGTTTCGCTCAAATGATTTTTTCAACGCCACTTCATTTTGGTTTCCGCCAATAATGTCGCGGATTATTTATTGCAATTTTCTGATTACTTGAACGAACTTAATCGAACAGGTTGCATCACAACCAAGGAGCTCGGCACGGTGATGAGATCCTTGGGTCAGAATCCGACGGAAGCCGAGCTCCAGGACATGATCAATGAGGTGGATGCCGACGGCAACGGGACCATCGATTTCCCGGAGTTTTTAAACCTCATGGCGAGGAAAATGAAGGATACCGATTCCGAGGAGGAGCTGAAGGAGGCGTTCCGCGTGTTCGACAAGGATCAGAACGGTTTCATCTCTGCTGCCGAGCTCCGTCATGTCATGACAAACCTCGGCGAGAAACTGACCGACGAGGAGGTCGATGAAATGATCCGCGAAGCTGATGTGGACGGCGATGGGCAAATTAATTACGAGGAGTTTGTTAAGGTTATGATGGCTAAGTGATGTTTTAACACATGAATATACAAAAATTCAGAAATTTTTTTTTTTAAAAAATCATGAAAAGAAGAAACTATTGTAGACGAACGGCGATGTCGCCTAGTTTAATGGTCTTAAATCGTTTTTCTTTGTCTTGATTGCATTTTACGATTTTTAAGTCGTATGTAGGAATGGTTTTGGGTTCTTTAGTTATGTGTGACGGTTCTTGTTTTACTATCGATCTTTTATGCCTTGGGGTGAGTTTATTGTGCGCAAATGTGTCGACACTTTGGTAGTAGTAGTAGTAGTTTGTAATCGATTATAGATACTTATTAGAGTGATGATGTTGTCCATGTATATGCTATTTGAGGTGTTCCTTGTTTTGAAATTCTCGTATTTTGTCGAAATCGCAATGCTAAGGTTGTCGTGGTAAGAACTTGTCGTGGTATTTATTTATTTATTTTTTTCCGCGCGAGAATTATGTGTAGGAGACAAGACTTAGAGGTGCCCCACGGCTCCGTAACTAAATGGTTGTTGTTACTATGTTAAGAGTTACAATAGTGTTGACATATATTGTGTACTATCAGACATCGTATAATAACTACGGATAATATAATATAGTGTAAACTGTTTTTTTAGTCCAGTAATTGGACCTCAATAGAGCATGTTGCAAATTAGTCTCATAAGTGAAATTTTTTTGCTGTTTTAGTCCTCCGGCGTTGGAGATGCCCGCGTGGCTCGCCGGAGGTGACGTATCCACGTGGATTTTTTTTTTCATTTTTTAAATTTCTTTAAAACTTATTTTTAATTTATTTTAAATTTTATTTGTATTTTTTTTAAATTTTTTTATTTGGTCCAATTAAAAAAAAAATAAAATAAAATTATAAAAAAATGAAAAAAAAATCCACGTGTCCTTTAGGTGTCGCTGACCTGGCGGACACGTCACCTCCGGCGCCGGAGGACTAAAACAGCGAAAATTTTTCACTTATAGGACTAGTTTGCGACAAGCTCCACAGGACTAAAATGATACAGTTATGGGACAAAAAAACAGTTTACCCTATAATATATTAACATAATACGATTATAATTTTTTTTTATTTATAATAAGATTAAAATTGTTGACATTTTTAATAATAAAATCAAAATTGATTATTTCTGTTTTTATTGGTATTATTTTTTATTTTTTATTTTCGTAAATTTTAATATTATATTGTTAATCTCCGTTAGTTATAAATTTTGAATGGTGTGATTGGTTGGGGGAAAAATTGGAAAAAAGTATTTTGTTTGTATGTATAGTCAATTATTAGTTTTTTTTTTTTTTTTTCTATATATTTGTTTTTGAAAAAATATATTTTGTATTTTACAAAGAGTTACGATTTGATATATGGGAGAAAGTTTACAAAGAAATAAACAAATTAAAAGTAAAATTATAGTAGAAATAACTATAATAAATATAGTTTAAATCAATCAATGGATAATATTCAAAATAAAATGTTGTTAGATTAATAAATTCCAATTATAGTTTCCCACATTTAAATTTCGATTTCGATTATTTATTTTTAATAATAAAATTAATTTGAAACATGTAAATAAATAAATTATATTTTATCTAAAGAAAACAAGATAATCAATAATTACATATTGAAAGAAAAAAAAAAAAAGTAAAATAGTAGTAATAAAAATAAATCAATAGGAGAAACTTCTTCACGGGAGTAAGACAATATATAAGTTCAAAAATTTAGAAAACGAAAATAGATAATTTTAGTCGAACCACACCAATGTATTCTTAGCATATGTTCAAGGCCAAGATGATTTGTAATTTTGAGTTCTCTTTGAGGATCTTCATGTTGTCCGAAGATACCATTCCTTTTTAATCCGAAAGAAAATATCAATGTTATGATACGTAATTGTAACATTAAATCGATTGTACGTTTATATTCAATAATTATTTCTACTTTAAAAAGTTCAAAGCCAAAACAAAATCAATCTATTCAAGATATTGTATTAAATATATATATATATATATCTTATGTTATATTCATTTTACTTTTCCCAAAATAGTTCGCAACATCCAAAAAACATCGTAAAAAAGAAAGGAACATACCATTTTTTCACCCCCCAAATTCAAGAATCATGCGAGATTATTACCTTGATTTGAAGGTTGCTATGAAGCAACGTCGACATCCATATTTTCATGTGCTTGCTCAACTGCCTTAGGTTTCAAGGTCGATGCCTTTCCATTCTGAAAAAGACGGAATTATAATGAATTGAGGTCATTAAATTGCATCCACAAAAGTTCGAGCATTAGAAATATGTCAATTAGACACACACATATATGTGTGTGTGTGCGCGCGCGCACGGACGCGACATATTTGTGCATATATTATGTTATGTTGGGCACATAGTTTGTCTTACATTAGTTTTTGGACCCTTCTTTGGTTTTTTGGATTTCTTATTTGAAGTTTCTGTCGATGCCGGAGACTTATTTGAAGTTTCTGTTGATTCCGGAGATTTCTTCTTTCTTCCTCGAGTAGATTTAATACTTGATGCATCAAAATTCTGAAAAAAAAAGAAAAAAAAGAAGCATAATCATGGTTACATATTTTCACAGAAAAAAATAACTATTTTATCTTAGTAAGTAACTTTCATTTCATATCACTAATTAGTTTCAAATTTCAATATTTAGAATATATCCTTTAGAAAATTCAAATTTATGTTTCATAGCTTGTATATAACTTGAAAGAATTATAGAATAAATGAACATATGAAATACATGCATATTTGGGAATATGGTCTTAAGAGTATAAATAAAGATTATTTCATTTAGGTGTATGTATATATATATATATATATTATAAAGATTTTTTTTACCATTTATTATTCCAAAACACCAAAGCAAATCTTCCTCCGTGGCATAACAAAGTATAAATTTTTCTATTTTAGTATGTCCCATAACAAAGTATCAATTTCTTTTTTTTTTAGTAACTGTACTGTCTATCTACCATTACAAATACCCTTACAACTTACAATATATTATACAAATGTCATTACTTTTATATCACAGATACTAATAAGGTTATTTTAGTCATTTCTATTTTATTCATATTATATTCCAATATAATACTAATATTTTTAAAACTATATGCAAAAAACAAATAAATATTTACTTCTGGGACAACGGAGGGAGTACTTATTTTTTATTTTTTATATTATATAAAAAAAAAAAAAATCAGTTTTACATATACCAAAATCTAAACTCCAAAACAAACACACCCTTAAGGTTGCGTTTGGTCATGCAATGAATTTGAAATTTGTATAGTTACGATGGATTTGAAATTCAAATTCCTTAAAATTTCACAATTTATTTAATTACATATTATTTCAAATCAATTCCAAAAACGTAATTAAATCAAACAATGGATCCGAAGTAATTTTTTATTCCATTTTCATTTAAAATCTACTTTCAAATCCAAATTCTTACAACTAACTTAATAGTTTTATGACAAATAAAGTATCACACTAATAAATCTATACCATTTTCCCAAATAGTCCGGAAAAAAAAAAAGAATAAATGTATACGAATGTTACCGGATCATAGATCGAAAATCCTCGTTCTTTAGCGAATATAATGTATCTATCAAGATCTTTCCTGCTATAGAATTTCTGTCCACAAACATTGCTATAACACTGCATTTCAAATACCAATAAATTCATCAACTCAAAACAAATACATGTATTATACATTATTTCAAATTTCATATAAACGACTCGGGAAATATCAAATTTAAAACAAATTTTCTCAAATTTTCTCGAATGGCCGTTGTATGTAATATTTTATAATAATAATAATAATAATAGGTATTTTATATATATATATATATAGAAAATCACAAAAATTGCATAGTAAAAAAATTAAGAAAAATATCAAAGAAAACAAAGCCCAAGTAAGTGCCAAACATTCATAAGTACTAATTCTCTTTATATTTTTTTTTTTCACATGTTTTCTCAAAAAAATTAATATATTACATATAGTCATTATTTTTATATTATCTACACAATTTTCTATACCTTATATGAAATATATCCCTTCAAAATATTTCACAAAACAAACACACCCACAAAGCAACTAAAGTCATCAAAATGAATGAAGATGGAAAAATTGCAAATTTTATTCATGTATTATATATATAACCAACAATCACTCTATATTTAATCAGCGTATTTTGGTTCTATATTTTACAAAACAAAAATATTTATTTTGCATATTCCAATTATTTATTTACAAACGGAAATCAACCGACAGAAGTTATGCAATAGAAGTAATAATTGACCACATATACATACTTAGATGTACAAATTATTTAGATGAACACACTCTCATATAAATATCCATTTCTTGCCTTTGTTTTACTATAGAAACCACTACAATAAAATTCAGCTTCTTAGAATTATGTCAAAAAATAAAAATAAAAAAAATACATAATTTGTAAAACATTTTAAATTACAAATGTCATTTATATTATTAGTTGTCGGGTGCTTAGGGCTCTATTCTTTTTAATTTTTATTTTCTGTCTAATATTTTTATTATGCAATCACTATAATTTTCTAGGTAAAAAAATGCATTATTTATTCTTAAAAAATATCCAGTGCGCACTTTCGAGTAGTGGCTGCGGATTCCCACGTCATAAAAAAAAAAAAAAACCAAACAAACTTAAACTCAAATTACAAAACGAAATACAAAACAAACACACGATAAATATACCAAATCACTTTGTTTTAATACACTTAGGATCAAAACTACTAAAGCTAGATTTATGCATTCAAGAAACCACATAAGGAGTAATTAAAAAACCTTCCGATTATGCCGAATAAAATTTTGAATAACAACGGATACATCGATAGAACGAAGAACACTTAAAGAATACATATCCATCTTGTTAGAAACAGATCGATTTTCAATTTAAAATAAAATAAATTATTTACAAAACCTTAAAAACATCAAAAAAAAAAAAAATAAAAATCTAAAGTCATATTGATTTAAATTAATTAACACGATTTAAGAATGATACCTTAACCGATTGTCCGTTCCGATTCTTTCCGCACTCCAATGTCCAACCCTCCGGAGGGGGAGGGAAATCTTTTTCTTTCAAATCTTTTTTATCCATTGGAGAAGATATTTGAAATGTACTTCGATTTAAAATCTAAAAAAAATAAATAAACAATGATGGAGCTTGTTTATAACAAGAATTATTTGTGGGGTACGGACGGTAGTAAAGTAGCAATTGAGCGAGTGACTGCAATATTCGATTCTATCGAAGAGGCGACAACAAAACTTGAGACAAAGGCGACCAAACGTATATAGAATAATATTAAAATCGTCCTAAATAAGGTAGATTTAATGTAAAAATATTTAAAAGAGGATTATGATTAGATTTTTCAGGCATCCACAACGAACAACCATGAAGATTCACAGAAGTGAGGTGTACGAAAACCTTACTGATGGCGGCGCCGGAGACAATTTTCGGAGATCGCACAAGAAGCCCTAACCTCGATTTGAAACGGCGCGCGGGTGAAAATTGAGAATTATTTGAAGGAGCCCTAACCTCGCCTCGATTCGATTCGACTTGCGCATGGCCCATCACCCAAACTTGAGATATATATATATATATACTTGCTTCATTGTGTTGTACTCCCTCCGTCCGGCTCTAAGGATCTCATTTACTTTTTGCGTGTTGATATTTGAATATTAATTATTATATAAAAATGTAGGACAAATTAACGAAAAATGACAAAAAAATACTTCTATTAGTGTATTATAATACTATTATAATGACATTTGTACTGAAAATTTTACAAATATAAGAATATTTTTAATGTTAACTTCATCTTGCTAGTCCTCTCTTTAATTTTGTAAATTTTATTCTATATATGTTTGGTCGCCTTTTTCACTTATAAATAAAATAAATTATTTAAAGATCTTTAAACATCAAATAATCCAAGGATGTTAGGCAATTATATGTTAATTTTTAACTGTTAGCTAATTCGATTAGCGGTTAGCTATTAGATGTTAGCTGATTCAATTAGCTGATTTGACTAGCTCAATATATTAATTATTTGTACTAAAGTATTTGGTAAATAATAGTTTGATATTAGTTATTTATACATAAAATGATAATTAAGGATATTTATATTTTATTTTTAAAATGTTTAGTTGAGTTTTTTCGGTTTGTAAGATTTTTTAGAATTATATTATTAGTTATTGTAATTATGAAAGTTTTATTAAAATATTTATTTTTGTTATTTTTAAATATTCTTTAAGAAAATATATTTTTATTGAAAACTATGATTATTTATTTATTATAAATAACATAAATATATAAAAAATTCGTATATGTATTTTTATTAAATTACTTATTAATTAATGTACTTTTTCATTAAACTTATAATTTTAGATAAATCTTAATAATATTAATAATTTTATTTTTCTTTTATTTTAAAAAAAGTAAAATAAAATTTAAAATAAATTAATTGATATATGAAAATAATAATTTCAATTATTTTTAATTTATGAATATAAATTTATAAGTTATTAGAAGAAAATATATTCAAAATAAGAAATTAAAATAAATAAAATGAAAAAGTTAATATGAAACATTGGGATATACGTTTCAAAATTTAGCCTTTTTGGGGCACAATAAATTATTTTAAAATTTTAATTTATTAAATACAAAAATTAGTTGGGTTGCTGGCCAAACAATTAAAATTTCTTCGATAAACTAGAAACTTTTTTAAAAACGATTTGTCAAACACTTTAGGGTGTGTTCGGTACAGAGAATTGACAATAGAGAAATTGAAATGTTTCCATTTCTATTGTTTGTAAGCCAGAGAAATGGAAGTTGAGAAATAAATTATTTTCATTTATGTGATTTCATTTATCTCTCATATCCAGATAAATAGCGAGAAATGAATGTTGTAGTATTATTTTTAATTTTTTATAAATCTAATTTAGTACTATTTAATTTTATAAATTTTTTTAAAATTATATTATTTCAATTTTACAAAAATCACACTAAATTTATTATTAAGTATTTAATTTTTACGATTTTTTTATAAAAAAATTGTACTAAAATATAATTTTACAAAACATCATATATATATAATTTATAGTAATTTTTTTAAAAAAGAAAATTCATCAAATTTTTTTTTTCATGAATTCTCACGCGTTAAAACTTTCTTTTGTCCAATCAATCAGTTAGTCTTGTTCAATTCATTCAATTATCTGCATTTTTTTTTTTACATTTCTCAATTGAATTCTCTATTTTATCAAGTAAGAGAATTAATTCTCATTCTCTATTCAATTTCTTTTTTATCTGCAATTTCATTATTTATTCTCATTTTTTATGCAATTTCATTTTGTGTACCAAACGCTCCCGTAGAATTACTTGATAAGAACGCATTACACCTTAAGTGTGTCCAATGCGATTCTTTCCGCACTCCAACCTCCAACCCTCTGAAGGGGAGGAAATTTTTTTTATCCATCATACATTGTATTTGAAATTTACTTCGATTTCAATTCTAAAAAAAAAAAAAAAAAGATAATTATGGTCCTTGTTTATAACGAAAAAAATTTGTGGAGTGAGGACGGTAGTAAAATAGCAATTGAGCGAGTGATTGCAATCTTAGATTCCATCGAAAATGTGACAATAAAACATAAGACAAAGACAATAAGACATGGAAAGAATAACATTAAAAGCGTCCTATATAAGGTACATTTAGTGAAAATATTTAAAAGAGGATTTTTAATAGACCTGTCGAAATATTTTAGATTTTTGGAGTATCTACTACGAACAACCATGAGGATTCACAAATGCAAGGTGTAAAAAAACCTTATGTGATGGTGGCACCAAAGTCGCTTTTTGTCAATCGCATGAGGAGCCCTAACCTTTACTTAATACGGCGCGAGGGTGAGTATGAAGAACAATTCGAAGGAGCCCTAAATTCTCTACGTAGGGTGTTTTCGTTCGGAGAATTTCTTCAAAATTTTACTATTCATCCAATTTTTTCCTCCAAAAAAATATCAAATCAAACATTTATTTTTCATATTTTATATTATACTAAAAATTAAGTTTACATTCAAAACATTACATCAACACCTATTTATATCACATCATACAACTATTACAATTCAAAATTTTCACTATTCAAATCTCAACTCAAAAGCCGAATTCTCAAACAAACACACCCGAAGTGTTTCACAGTATGCTCTGGCTCCTTGTATAAGGAGAAGTTAAAAACGCTGATGAAAATTTATATTTAAAAATATATATATATTTACGAATTCTTCCGGGTTAATCCACCCTCCCGGCCTATTTAATGAGTGGGTTTTGTTATTTTAAAAGTTTTTTTTTCCATAAGTCATTTGCCTTCAACCAATTTCATCTTGCTAGTCCTCTTTAATTTTGTAAATTTTAATCTTCAAACTTGATAATTTTGATTAATCTCTAATATTCTTTAAAATTCTATAAAGTGCACCTTAGTGAAATATCGATAAAAAAACTTTTTATATATTGTAAGAAACAAATCGACTTAATATAAAAATAACATGAATAATTTAAACAACTTTAAACATCAAACAATCCAAATCATATCGATTTAGATTACTTAAAATGAATTAAGCATTACACCTTAGTTCAATGTCTCCGATGATGCGATATATTCTTTCCTCACTCTAACCTCCAACCCTGACAAATCAATTGATAAATTTATCATTTATGACAAGGTAGAGATTAAAAGTGATAAATAAATGAATGGTAAAAAAGTAAAATTTGTGTTTAAAAAAGAAATAAAATAATAGTTATTGCACGTCCCAACTAGAAAAATAGGACATTAGTTTGTTGACGGATGGAATATAACATTTTATATTTTCTAAAAAAAAAAAAATCTATTTTCATTTAAAAATAAAATAAATAATTTAAAGAATCTAAAACATCAAACAATCTTAATCATATTGATTCAGAATATTTAACACAAATTAACTATTACACTTTAACTGAATGTCTGATTCAGGAGGGGAGGCTAATCCTTTTCTTTCAAATATTTTTTACTCATTAGAGATTGTGTTTGAAATGTACTTCAATTTCATTTCTAAAAATATAACGATGGTTCTCATTTATAACAAAAATGATTTTTGGGGTGAGGATGATAGTAAAGTAGCCATTGAACGAGCGATTACAGTCTCCAAATCCATCAAATAAGTGATGACAAAATATGAGACAGAGGCAACTAGACGTATAAAAAAATAACGTTAAAATCGCCCTAAATAAGGTACATTTAATGAAAAAATATTTAAAATAGGATTATGAATAGACCTGTCAAAATATATTAGATTTTTCGGGTATCCACTGTGAACAACCATGAAAATTCACATACGTGAGGCGTAGAAAATCCATCCATGATGGCGGCACCAGAGAAGTTTTTCGCCAATCGCACGAGAAGTCTTACCTCTACTTGACGCGGCGCGGCGCGGGGGTGGGAATAGAGAATAATGCAAAGGAGCACTAAATTTGCTAAGTGTTTCACAATGTGCTCGGACTCCTTTGTATAAAATGGTGTTCAAAATGCTGGTGAAAATTGATATTTATAACAACATAGCAAACCCTATAGAAATATATAGAATCTTGGGTAAATTATATAATATCCCATTGTGTTTTAGTAAAAATATACAAAACACTTTGTATTTTATTTATTGCGTGAAACCCTCTTGTGTTAATTTCAAGTTTGCATAGAACATCTTCTTTGTCCAAAACTGATATTTAGTTCTAAATAAAGACCTAAATTACGCAAGTTTTATACAAATAAAAGATATAAAATATCTTAAATAATTTTTTTAATAAAATAAATAATTGATTAATCTTTCAATTTATAATTTTTTTGAAATAAATTGTTATCTGATTTTTACAAAAGTTAAAAAATAGAATAAATAATTTGAAGAACTTTAAACTTCAAACATTCTAAATCATATTGAATTAAATTACTTAACACGAATTAACCATTACACCTTAACTAAATGTCTGGATATGAGGAAAATCTTTTTCTTCAAAATCTTTTTTTACCCATCAAACATTGTGTTGGGAATGTACTTCAATTTCAATTCTTAAAAAAAAAAATAATGATGGTCTTCATTTATAACCAAAAATGATATATGAGGTACAAGGTAGTAGTAAAGTAGTAATTGAGCATGTCATTATAGTCTTCGATTCCATCGAAGAGGCGACAATAAAAGTTGAGACAAAGACAAACAAACGTATAAAGACGAATAAAATTAAAATCATCCTAGATACGGTTATTTTAATGAGGAAAAAAATTAAAAAGAGTATTATGAATAAACTGTAAAAATATATTAGATTTTCCGAGTTTCCACTGGGAACAACGTAACCATGAGGATTCACAAAGGCAAGGTGTACAAAAAATTTACGTAATGGAGGCACTAAAGATGCTTTTCTCCAATCACACGAGGAGCCCTAACCTCTACTCAACGCGGCACGGGCGCGGGAATGGAGAAAATTTTGAAAAATCCCTAAAATTGCTCAAGTGTTTCACAATATACTTTGGCTCCTTCTATGAGGGGATGTTAAAAATGCTGACAAAAATTGATACTTAAAAACATATTATGAATCTAGTCAAAAATATATTAGATTTTCCAGGCTACTTCACCCGCCCGGCCTAACAAATGGTTGGATTTTATTATTTTAAGTTTTTCTCGTAAGTTGGCCAATTGGGCTACAGGCTAGATAAATAAAGTTTATTACTCCTTCCGTCTCATAACCACTACTAGAAAAAATGTTGATAATTATAGAAATTTGTCGCAAATTTTAATCTGTGACAATTAAAAGTCACAGAAAGTAATTTCGTGACAAATTTATGTCATAACGTTTTGCTTTGACTATTCCGTAAGTAATATTTGTAGAAAAAGTTACAAATAACTTTCTGTGACTATTTAAAGTAACGACTTATATAACAAAAATGTCAAAGATATTTCTATTCCGTGTCTTTTGACTATTTCGTCACAAAAAATTGTCACGAAATTTTTTCTTGACTATTTTAAGTTTCGGCAAAAATAACTAAAATATTCACAACATTTTAAATGATTACAGATATTCTCATAGTATAATTTTCATAACTTTTTAAAATCAAATGTCACAATATAAGTAACGAAAACAACTATAATTTTTCTTATTATCGTTTGTAGCTATTCAAAATAATAAAATCATCTTCAATATCTTTATTCAATATCGTTCTAGCTATTCAATTTTTTTGTTAAAAATTCATGATGATATATTAAATAAATATGTATATATTGTTAAAAGATAATTTTATAGTCAATAATATTTATATAGTTAAAATATAATAACAAATAAAAATTAATATTTTAGAGTAGATAGGTAAGTTGGCATGACAGGTCTTCTAAGTCTTTAATAACTATAAGGTCACTAGTTCGAAACTCTTCGACGAAAAAAATAATCGTGTGCAAAAATATAAAATATAAAGTCATGAAATTGTTACAACTTTCGTTAATATAAAATCACGAAATTGTTACAACTTTCGTTAAGATAAAATCACAGAGGTGCAATTGTATTATTTTGTAACTTATTGTCACGAAAATGTCACTATTATAAAATATTCACGAAATTTTGTTGCAGCTTCTGTTGCTATATAAAGTCACAGACATGTCATAGTATTATTCTATAACTTATTGTCACAGAAATATCACCACTTAAGAAAAAGTCACCAGCAAAATTTCATGGAAATGGTTCCGTATATTTTTCCGTGACCAATTTGTATTAAAACCGTGACTTTTTTTACCGCAACTATAGCCTAATTTTCTGGTTGTGAACAAAGTATTTATTTTTCTATTTTAGTCCGTCTCATAACACAATATTCATTTCATTTTTTTAGTAATTGTACTATCTACCTAACATTACAAATATCTTTACAACTTACAATATATTACACAAATGTCGTTACATTTATATCACACAATAGTAATAAGGTTATTTTAGTCATTTCTACTTTATTCGTACCACATCTCAATATAATACTAATATTTCTAAAATTCCGTACGAAAAACAAACGGATATTTAGTTATGGGACGGATGGAATATAATTTTAGTTATTATTGATAATCAATTTTATATTTTCTAATATAATCTCTTAAACTTTTTTTTTTTCCTTTTCAATATCGTGCATTGCCCTTGCACAAGGATAACACAAGTCCAAATTATATACATTTAAATTTGCTTAATTGTGTTGTTGTGTTTTCCTTTTGATTTGCTTTTTATCAACTTCATCTTGCTAGTCCTTTCTTTATCTTTTAAAATTTTATTCTTCAATTTGAAAAAATTTTGAAGTTCTCTAGTATTTTTTGAAAATTCTATAAAATGCACTTTAGTGAATTCGCTCGGGAATAACCTTTTATACTTTTTATGGAACATATCGATTTTCATTTAAAATTAAACACCTATAAAAATTTGAATGCACTTTTGTGTTGTTTGTTTGGGGGTTTGAATTTTGAGTTGGGATTTGAATAGTAAAAATTTTGAATTTGAATAGTTGTATGATGTGATATAAATAGGTGTTGATGTGATGTTTTGAATGTAAAATAGATTTTTAGTATAATATAAAAAAATGAAAAATAGGTGTTTAATTTGATATTTTTACATACTAAACCGGAATTATCGTTCATTGAAAACAATATGCTTTGCAAACAAAAATTCAAAACAAAATAGATCTACTTATTTGAAATTTTTGGAAATTACTTTAAATCCACTGTTTGGTCTAATTAGGTTTTTAGAATTTATTTAAAATGATATAAAATTAAATAAGTTGTTAAATGTTAAGGAAAATGAATTTCAAATCCATTAGTGGTTTTATATATTTCAAATCCATTGTATGACCAAATGAAATTTTTAAAGTTCAAAGTGCTACACACGATGCAATTAATAAAAAAAAAAAAAACCAACAATCAACAAAAAAAATTGTAAAATTTTATCTATGGAATAAATAACAATTAAAATGTTTGGAAAATTTAATAAAAAAATAAAATAATTAATCACTTTTTAATTGATTTGCAAAACACGTGACAATTGAAGTATTTATAAAATATACTAAAATAAAATCATATAAAATTATTTATACACAATAATAAGAAAAAAATAAAAGTAAAAAATAGAAACAAATACTCGTAATAATTGATATCTTCTCAAAAATGATAAAACTAAACATAAAAAAATCAAAAGCAATATAATAAAAAATATCATCTTTGTATGGTCTGTATGTCTAAAAATTGTGAAAAAAATATATATATAATAATGACATCCGAAAAATCACACATATTTAATATTTGCATTTTTATTTGTACAAAAAATAATATTTAATTAATATATATAATATTTCTAACTAACACAAAATATATATGAATATTATAGAAAGTTATCCAAATAATTAAGCATTTAAAATCAAAAATAAAATTTAATATAATAATTTCTCCATATTTATATATAGTTAACAACATTTGTTCAAATATTATAAAATAATTACAATTACAAAATCAAAATAAATATAAAAATTAAAAAGACTTATTGAATTTGATGATTGATAATACTTCAATACCAAACGCAACAACTTATTGTTCGTGAATATCTTCCGGCATTCAAATTGTATTCTCTCCCAGAACGTCTCTCAAAACATTAAATATTGTTAATACAATCAAAATGGGAAAAAAAAAATGAAAGATAAATATATCTCAACAAATAGATAGAATAAATCAAAAAGAAAAACAAAAACAAAAAAAATATAATGAAAGATAAATTACAGTAGCAATCGATTACTCGATTAACATATCTCAACATTATGGCCGGAAAGTCTCTTCAAGTAGTAGCACATTCCACCTTCAAACATTTTACTTCTACAAAATAATAGAAAAAAACAAAATTAGTAAACAAAAAACAGAGAAAATATGAACAATAAGAATGATAAAAATTCGTGAAAGAATCTGTAAAATATATATATATATATAGAATATGAATTCTAAAGCAAATGAGTATAAATTAAAAAAATAAATTAGACATTGATCTTCTATATATATATATATATATAGATAGAATATAGATCATGAAAACTATATCATCCCACCACCTATTTTCTCTAATCGTACCACTCCTCTATCACTTTTATCAAAGGATTGTATTTTTAATTTTATTAAATTAACTTATAAATATTTTTTTATTAATATAATCATACAAATATAAATATAAATATAATTATAATTATTAATAAAAATGAATTAAATTAAATAAACAAAATTGAAAACACAAATATACATACAAAATTAATATAAAATTCATTAGATTTTTAAAAATTTTAAATTTAAATAAAATTATTTTTAAAAAATAGATATAGGATATCACATGTTTGTTACTAAAATTTTATTTATTTATTTATTTATTTATGGATTATAATCTAATAAAAAAAATAAAGTAATTAAATATAAAAAATTAGAAAAAAACTTATATAATAAAAATAGTTAATTATAATACTAATAAGTGAAAATAATGGAATAGTAAACTGTAATTCTGAAAAACTGTATAAATATCAAAATAAAAAAATAAAAAAATCTCAAAATTCTGTGATTGCAGAATCTTTTAAATTCTATGATATGATATGATTATCATGTTTAGCTGATTTTACTTTGTTATTTCACTACAAGGGAAAAATCATTTTTATAACAAAAAAAATTTTTTGTCTCTAAATTTACTTTTTCTGTTACTAAAGACATTAGAGACGGAATTATGAATGAAATTACGTTAGCTATGTGAACTTCAGGGATGGAATTCCGTTACAAATATATTATTTTTTATTTTTTTTTGGTGGTGTTTAAATAATCTTTATTTATAGTCTTAATTCCTTATTCCCAAATATGCATGTAGATATTTTTGCATTTATTCTATAATATATATATATATATTTTTTAAGATATATAAATGTTTTTTAAGAAATAAATAAATAGCAAGAAAAACCCAACACCTACCACACATGTACAGCAGCAGCAGGTGCAACTGCAAATCAACAACGACGACGGACCGTGGATGGGTGACACGTGTCTAAATCCTAGCCATTCAATCTACCTAACTAATTATAATCAATCTTCTTCTTCCTCCAAGTACAAAAGGGCAGTGAAGTGCAGTGAGCGATTTGATTCCTAAACCCCCACATTTGTGATATTGCATCGCAGCCGTTGTTCCCGATCGAGATGGACGGTGGAGATGAAGCAGTAGCAGCAGGGGGCAAGTTGAGGATTCTGTGCATCCATGGATTCAGAACGAGTGGAAGCTTTCTCAAGAAGCAAATCAACAAATGGGATCCTTCAATTATTTCACATTTTCATATGGTAATATTATAGTGGCTTTGTTTAGGGATTATTTCAAAAAAATTGATGGATTAAATAATAATAATAATACTTCATCCGTCCTATATCTATCTATCTATCTATTTATTTTTTCACAAATTTTTAAAAATATTAGTATTATATTGGAATATAGTAGAAATATAAATTAGAATGATATTTGTAATGTTATATAGATATTACAATTACTAAAAAAAGAAATAAATAATATGGAACTGACCAAAATGAAAAAATAGATATATTGATAAGAGAACGAAGGAGTAATAATTTTAAATTAAAAATATTTTATGTTAGATTAAAATAATTTTATATTAATATGTTTATATCACATCAATTATTTTAATTGAAAATTATATTCAGTATGTTCAGCGTTTTCGGATGAATTAATTTTTTTTGTACAAGAAAGTGTATTGGTAATATAAAAAAAATAATATTTTGTATTGAATTATTGATTTGTTTTTGGATGAATTGATTTTTTGTAGTATGGAGAAATGTGTTGGTAGTATAAAAATAATATTTTGTATTAAATTGTTAACTTTTTTTTTTATGAGTGAATAATATATATATTATATTAAAATATATAATGCATGTGTATATTTGTAGTTTTTTAATAATATTTATAAAAGTGTTTCATTGAAAAATGTTAGATGAACGGACTGATTTCAAATCTAAAATTTAAACATTTTGATTTGAAATTTAAGTTTTGGTTTATACAATATTTTTTATAGTAAGTATGTATAAATTAATTGTATTTGTAATTTACGTAAAAAAATATATATATATATATTGAAATTAGTGAATGCTTGTTTTTATTAAAATAAAATATAAATACTTTTTTAGTAAGATGGACGATAATGATAAAAGAAATATTTAAATTAGAACAAATAAAAAATTATATTTTAATCTATTATAAAACCCTAAAGTAACCTATTTGTATCGAGACAGGATAATTTTTAAAATATTTAGACATATAATTTTAATATTGATTGAAATGTTACCGAAAAAATATACTTTTATAAAAAATTATAAAAATAATATAGTAAAGAAACTATAATCTAACTATTGGTGTTAAAAGAAAAAAAAAAAAAAAAAAAAAAAAAAAAAAAAAAAAATTCTAGAATAGATGTGACTATATTTATGAGTGTAGACAACATGTTTGTTGAAATGCCTGAATAAGGAATTTGTTGTAGGATTTTCCCGATGGGATTTTTCCAGCCGGAGGAAAGTCCGAAATCGAGGGCATATATCCACCCCCATATTTCGAGTGGTTTCAATACAACAAGGTAATTTTTTTGGCGTAAAAAAAAAAAATAGACACATTTTTTTTATCAGCTAAAAAATATTTATGTTCGACTATATATTACAATGTTGAATACAAGTAGTTTACAATGTGTTGTGTTTGTTGGTAAGGAATTTACCGAGTACCAAAATTTGCAAGAATGCGTCGATTACTTGTGCGAGTACATTACAAGCAATGGTCCTTTCGATGGTTTGCTCGGCTTCTCGCAGGTATCATTTTATCTTATTTTATTTTGATTAAATTATATCCGCATCGATATACTATTTATTTTTATTTGTTTTACTATAATTGTTATTACAGCTTTGCGCGGAGGATATATATAATTTATTTTTATTTATTTTAAAAATAATTGCTATTACAATCTTATGGAGACGATATACATAATTTACTTTTATTTGTTTTTTCTATAATTGTTATTACAATTTTGTGCGGACGATATATATAATTTTATCTCAGGTTTTGTTTTAATATGATTGTTAATACAATTTTGTGCGGACAATATAGTATAATTTATCTTTATTTTGTTTAATATACTTTTTTTCGTCCATTAAATATTTTTTTCTTTTTCTTTTTAATTTGTCAAAAAAAAAAATGTCCTTCCGTAGAAATTTCTTTATGTACTCTTTAATTTATATTCTCTCAAATTAGTAAATATCATATTACATTCATTAAAATTCATGTCCTATTCAAATGAGCATATCAATTTTATGTTACTTTTATTTTCTTTATTATAATTGTTTATACAATTTTGCGATCGTAGGGAGCTATTCTATCGGCGCTTCTCCTAGGATATCAAGCACAGGTACGCAATCCTACAAAAATAGCCGATCCGAACCTCATAACTAAAAATTTAAACTTTTTATACATAAGTTTCTTTTCGAATAATATAGGGAAAAGTACTCAAGGATCACCCGCCGATGAAATTGTTTATATCGATGTCGGGTACCAAGTTTAGGGACCCGAGCATATGCGACGTTGCTTACAAAGACCCGATCAAGGTTAAATCGGTTCATTTCATCGGGGAAAAGGATCGACTAAAAATACCCTCCGAGGACCTCGCCACGGCTTTTGAGAATCCTCTCATTATAAGACACTCTCGAGGTCACCAACTCCCAAAATTAGGTTGGTTCTTAGCAATATCGAATAAGACCCCCCTTGACTTATAGACTATCACATTGCCGATAATTATTAACGGGCACTACCAAAAAAATACCAAAGTTGCGATAAATGATGGAATTTAATTCCATCGCATATTACAATGGCATCTGCTACAAATCAATCCGTCGCAATATTTTTTGCGACCATAAAGATTTTGGCGGGGGCAGAAATTTTATATATATATAATATATATAATATAATGTATTTTTAAAAAAAAATTACAAACAAATTTTTAGTTTGTTTTATCTAATTTTTTTCACATATTTCTAAATATTTGGAGTATTTTGAACTCTACTTTTACGTGTTTGAGTTAATATAAATAATACTAATATTTTTATTAAATTTATAGAGGTTATCAATTATTTAAATTTTAAAAGTTATTCAAAATACTACATAATAAAAATACAAAACTCAAATAATTAGGGTGGTCTGAACATCCTTCGGCCCCCCTACTAGCTCTGCGACATGAAATCAAGAATTGTGATGGAAAATTTCCCTCGCAAATTCTGAATATATTTTTTTTTTTTTGGTAATGTCCCACTAAAATTGATGAATCTTCGACGCGGTTGGTTGTCAAAACACGTCGCAAACTCGAGTAGAATAATTTTATATTTAAGATCGTATGTTCAAAATTATAATTATTTTGCGCCTTCTATTTGTCAGATGAAGATGCCGTAAAGAAGCTAAGGGAGTGGACGGAGGAGATAGTCCGATCACAGCAAAGCAAGAACGCCGTTTCTGTACCAGTGGAGCAAAAAAATGCTGCGAATGGAGATCAAACGAAGAACACTGAAAACGGCGTTTGCGCCAACAAAATCGAAGCTGAAGCATAGTTGAGGAGAGAGGTAGAGAACTAATGAATGTTTCATGTAATAAACCGAAGCCTTCGATGTATTTTTCTTTCGTGTGAATAAATGTATGAATTGATGTTGATTAGCCTTAATCGGAGCAAATTCGAAGCGTGTTCGTTTGGAATATGTACTCTTTGAGATCTTTTTCTCGAGTTTCGTACGGTACAATTGTTATGATTTTCTATAAAAATGTATCATAAACAACTATTTAAGATAGAATGTAGGATTTTGGGTACACTCCTATTATTCATTCCATTCCCCCCTTCTAAAAAATTTGAAGTTGCGTTGGTTTGAGATTTTTGAATTTGTAAAGATTTTGAAAATATAATATGTAGTATTTTCAAAAAAAAATCTATCGTCCGGCTCTGAGGTCTCGTGTTGATCTTTTAATATTAATTATTATATCAAAACGTTGTACAAATTAAAAAAAAATTACAAAAATATTTCCATTAGTGTCTTATCATACTAATATAAGGATATTTTTGTAACAAAAAAAATATACAAATATAAGAATATTTTTAATGTTAAGTACAGTGACGCAAAAGGTAAATATGACCAGGCGGACGGAAAGAGTATATAATAATAATAATAATAATAATAATAATAATGTAATTGAAGAAAAGGAAAAAACTATAAGAATTGAAATATTGATGTCAAGTTAGAAAATAAAATAAATGTTGTAAAAATGGAAGTAGTTGTTTATTTATAATTATTAATTTGGTTAGAAGTATTGAAGAGTAGACACTTAACTAATGTAACATATTTTTACAAAAAAAAAACCTAAATATCCCATATTAGATGAAGTAAATAACTATCTCACCTAAAACTTCAATCTGTGTTAAGATACAGTATCATTTATTTATTTATCTACAAACAAAAGTCAACCAACAAGATGCATTAGTTATTAAACAAAAGAAAACAACATATAAAAATCAACACAGATAAGCCACGGTAACTACATGCGCCATATATAGACAACGATACAAACGCACAAAGCATCAAGAAAGCATCCAAGATACAGATTCACAAAAAAAAAACCACAATCGACTAAACTCAAAATTATTTAACCCAATTCTCCAAATATCCAAATCGCAATAATATATATATCCACCAAAGCATGCATATAAACACATCGAATAGACATTGATAGAAATCACTAACCTCATTGAAGCATACCTAGCGCGTGACGCTCTCAGCCTGAAGAAGACCCTCGCGGATCTGAGTAGCAATGTCTCTGACAGCACCGGGGCCGTGAGGGACGAAGACTGCGGAGGATTTGGATGAGGCGCCGATTTCCTTCATTGTGTCGAAGTATTGGGTCACCAGAACCATGTCCATGACGTCCTTGGCCGAAGTTCCGGGAACATTTTCTGAGAAAGCGAGCACACTGTCCCTTAGGCCATCGACAATGGCCTGACGCTGACGGGCAATGCCGAGTCCAGACAAGTACTTGGACTCGGCTTCTCCCTCTGCTTTCTTGATCTGCAAGATTTTCTCGGCTTCAGCTTTTTCGTTTGCGGCGACCCTCAGCCTTGCAGCTGTCATGGTGTTGGTAGAGAAATCAGGGTTAAGTCTGACAATCGTATAAATAACAGATGAGAAGACCCAACAAAATTCTTTGACAAGCTTCACGGTTAATGTTGCAAAAAATACAATATATACGCACTCACAATATATAATACTCCCTCCGTCCTGTAAGAAAGTATCCATTTTTCCATTTTAGTCTGTCTCATAACAAAGTATTCATTTCCTTTTTTAGTAACTGTACTATCAACCTAATATTACAAATACCCTTACAACTTACAATATATTACACAAATGTCATTACCTTTATATCACACATACTAATAAGATTATTTTAGTCATTTCTACTTTATTCTCACTATATCCCAATATAATACTAATATTTCTAAAACTACGTACAAAAAGCAAATGAATATTTACTGGGACGGAGGGAGTATATATATATATATGCTACACATTCACTAAAAATCAACAATTCAATATAAAATATTGTTTTTTATATTACTTACATGTTTTCCCACATCTAACATAGAAAACACTTGCACAAAAATACGTAAAATTATTTTTTAGTATAATATAAAAATAAAAAATAGGTATTTGATTTGATCTTTTTGAAAAAATAAATAAATTAATGAATAGTAGAAATTCGAAAAAATATGCCAAACAAACACACCAAAAGTGAACACACAGATTTTGGAGGTGTATAATATAGGTGATTAGGATATACAATTGTACATATATATACATATAGATTAGTTTTTGGAGGTGTATAATATAGGTGATTAGGATATACAATTGCACGTATATATATATATATTAGTTTTTACCATTGCATGTATTTTGAGACCCGAATGTCGCCTTAAACCGAGGATAATATACAATCAAGGGCATTCCAAAAAAAAAAACAAAAAAAAGGAACAAAACAAAACAATAGAAATCATGTTAGCCAAAAACCATCTTCCTAAAACCATAACGATTTCAAAGAAAAGTGAAACCAAGCCATAATTGTGAAGAATGCTTCTTCAAAGATCATATGTCATAGAAAACTTACCAGCATTTATCTCATTCATGGCTCTCTTGACTTGACCATCTGGCTCAATGTCGACAATAAGTGTCTGCACGATTTCATACCCATAGGCAGACATGGCCTGCAAAGATTGTAGACAATGTAGAATATACAAAATAGAAGTTATATACATATCACACAAGCACACGTAGAGAGAACAGTTATATAAAGAGCATAAAATACCTTCTCAAGTTCATCCTCCACAGCTTTTGCAATATCATTCTTCTGCTCAAAAGCAGAATCCAAATCCAACCTTGGTACGCTTGCTCGAATGACTACAGATGCATCAAGATTAGGATTATGTCATAGAAGTTTCATATAATCAAAGAAGTGAGAAAAAGGAGATAAAAGCACATATTTCCATAAGCATCGTTAATTGCTGCCCTGGATCTAAATTATGACTATTGATAAACTTATCCAGCAGTAATAGGAAGCTGCTCAAAATAACTATTTGTTCCTATTGCCGCAACACATTCAAAACCATCACAAATTCAAAATGATTGCAACTTCAACCACATGTATGGAACCAAAAGCACACAATGAGTCAAAACCCGGTGGTGAAATTAAATAGATGTAAGTTTGCTTAATATTAAGGTCAGTGAATAGCATCGTCATAATATTCCGATAGATCAAGAAGGCATTATAATATAAATTTCCATAGAAGAAAGTGATGACCATTGAATTCACATCCATACCATCAAAAACATAGGCTTGGATCTGTTCTTTGGTGTTGGAGAGCCTATAAAATGCATCGGAAGCCTTTTCTGCCAGCGCACGGTACTGGATCGAAGCAACAACAGTGACAAACACATTGTCCTGAAAGAAAAGTGATTTTGTTGCTTTATCAGATTATCACAGTAATAAAATAACATTAAGTAAACAATAATCTTGATTTGTAAGTAACCGAGGTTAATTAGTTATGCTCTACCCCATTAAATGGATATACTTTCATAGTTCAAAGATCAAAACTCACTAGTCCGCGCAGATTCTTAAGGGACTGGAGCTTAGTAAAATATAACACAGATGATGCTCAAGCTATATAGAGAAATGGAAAGTTCAAAAGGGCGAACTGAATAAACCTTCGTCTTCGTTTCGCATCGGACATCAAGTTGCTGAACACGCAACGAAAGAGTACCAGCTAATTGGTAGCCAACACACCAAGGCAAGCAATGGCACCCAGGCTCAAGCACATCACTGAACTTTCCAAAATGCTCCTTCATGGCAACCGTAGACTGATCCACTTGTACACAACCCAATACTTGACCCATTTTTCAACGAACAACGCCTTGACCTAAAATTTGACATCATTAGCCTCTTGGTGGAAAAAATACAACAATAATTTAGAATTAGCAATCACTTTCTCATCATGGAACACACTTACACATAGAAATATCATATGCCACCAAAGTAGTTCTCATCAATCAAAAATTGAAACTTGTAAGTAGCAAATGATTTCATATAAAACTAAATTTGAGTAACATATTGAAGCAACAACAATATTTGCAATAAGTTCTACTCTTTTCTTCCAACATAAGAATCAAAGGAGGAAATTCGGTTGCATGAGTATTAAAAAATAAAGTCAACTTATTAAAGACACTTTTATCTTGAATTTTTTAACTCCTCTTCAACCCTAACTAAAAATTGTTTCCTTTTGTGCTTAAAAGCATTAACTTATTTGTTAAGAGAACTGCAAACACACAAGCAATTTTTTCTTTTTTAATTTTTTCCCTTTATTCTAAAGAGCGTTGGATTCCAATCCATCACCAGACTCAAAATTCTACCAGATCATTTCCAAGGCACAAGGCCAAGATCCACAAGCAAAAAGATCCCCTAACAAATCTCCCAAAAACAACCTAAAAGATAAGAAGCAAATTACAGAGAAACAAAAATGCAAAAACGGAAGGCATAACAACTGAAACAAGCGGAACTACGGATTCAAAGCACAATTCAAGATATTTCAGTACATGAATCAAATCTAACACTAAACCTACATGCAGAACCCAAATTCAGCAGAGAAAAACCAGAATTTGAAACGAAAATACCTAAAGAACATAGAATGAAAGTAAGCTCGTGAAAAAACTTATCGGAATTGCTTACAATTAGGTAGAAGAAGATCAGCGATAATACCAATTCTCGGAATGATTAGGGATTGAAATTTGGAATTGGGATTAACGAGTGGTCCGTTCTTATAAGCGACAGCTCGCTTAACGACTCGGGCCAGACCGCCCGGTCTGAGCCGATCAACCGGTCCGGTCTAAAGTGATCTATATGAGTATATATGATCAATTCTCAATATAATCATTTTTTAAATTTCCATTTATATGTATTCTATCAATTTAGATTTTATGATATACTACCATATACGTATATAGCTCTTTATTCCCTTTTACTTTTTTATTATTTTTAATGAAAATATAATCTCTTTATTTCGGACGAAAGTATGAATTTTTATATTATTTTTATTTCTTTTTAAGGATCTCATTTATTTTTTTTTTATTGATTTTTTATTATTAATTATTATATAAAAATATAGTATAAATTTAAAAAAATTGCAAAAAATATTTCAATTAGTGTCTTATAACACTAATGATATTTGTATAAAAAATTATACAAATATAAAAATATTTTTAATATTAAATACAATATTGTAAAAGTAAATAACCTTAGAGACGGACGAAGAGAATAGTAAATTAATAAATATTAGTAGTATTTTTAAATGTTATACTCCCTCAATTCTACTTAATTTATCCATTCTTTTTGGTTCCACATAATTTATTCAAAAAATATTGCAAAAATAAAAATGGCATCAGATGAAAAAGAAATATATATATATTACCTCCGTCCATGGTCAATCTGTCCATTTGTATTTGGCCGTCATTGTTTTTAACATTAAAAATATCCTTATATTTGTATAATTTTTTTGTACAAACATCATTACATTAGTATTATAAAACACCAATAGAAATATTTTTGTCATTTTTTTTTTATTTGTACTAAATTTTGATATGATAATTAATATTCAAATATTAACACTCAAAAAATAAACAGATAGATGGGTGGTGGACGGAGATAATATTACAAAAAAAATCGTCGATTAATCAGAATGTGTCATGTAGCATCATCCTGAAAGAAAATCGAAGCTACGACTCTCCTATAAAATAGATATCTCGGCCACATCATTTGATACAACGAAGTTCATTTGAAAACTTCAGCGATTATTAGTCTTTAAATCCTTTCTGCAATATTTTTTATTTTTTTGTGCTTTTCGTAATATTTTTCGTCAAAAAATCACAAATTTGGACAAAGAATTCAATATTAATTGACAAATCGATGAAGTCAACGTTTTCTGTCGTATATTCAATCCAGATGAAAATTTACAACTCTAAAATCCATTGAAAAGTCCGGTGAAATAAAATTAAAAATTATAATAAAATAATAAAATAAAAGTCATTCAAATTCTTCTCTTTAAAATATTCTTTGGGTGTGTTTGTTTGAGGGATTTGTTTGGATTTTCACTATTCATCCTATTTTTTTCCCCCCAAAATATCAAATCAAATATCTATTTTTTATTTTTTATATTATACTAAAAATCAATTTTACATTCAAAACATCACATCAACACCTATTTATATCACATCATACAACTATTCAAATTCAAAATTTTTACTATTTAAATCCCAACTCAAAATCTAAATCCTCAAACAAACACACCCAAATGTGTTATTCATTAAAATCATCAACTTCATCATCTTCGATCCAAAAATAAACACACAAAATATTAAAATATTAAAATAACACAATATGTGTCTTTGTCTATTGTAAGGGTGTGTTTTGTTTGTAGAATTGAATTTTTAATTAAGATTTGAATAATAAAAATTTGAATTAAAAGAATAATATGATGTTATGTAAAATAGATGTTATTTGAATGTAAAATTAATTTTTAATATAATATAAAATATATATATATTTAATTTGATATTTAAAATATAAAAAAAAAACAAATAATTGGCATTTGGGGAAATCTTCTAAACGAAGATATTTCTTTCTTCATGTAATAATTGCTTGGACATCATTTATTGGTCCATTAAAATATATAATGAGGTCTACAGTCCATGTCAACTTACTCAGATAAAATGGTGATATATATATTTTTAATAAATTAAATTAAATTTTTTTGGCCGAGTTTTTCGGCATTTTACTATTTGGACTCTGTATTTTCTTTTGTAAAATATCTCATTAAATATTATTTTCATATCAAATTCAAATCAATTTTTTTTTTTCCAAATTCATCAAAATAAACACAATATTCATTAGTTTCAGATAAATATATATTTTTAATAAATTAAAAATAATACTTCCTTTGTTCCATTTAATTTGTCCATTCTTTTTATTTTTGTGTGTTTTTTTATTTTAATTAAATTATTTAGTCATTTTAATTTTAATTTGTAATTATTTTTACTAAATCGTAATTATTTTTATTAATACACTTTTTAATTACTTACTAATTAAATAATACCTAAAACTTTATGTCTAAACTAAAGAACACAAATTAGCTTGAACGAAAATAGTACAATTTTATTAACAACTACAAATATATAAAAGGATATGATAATTTTTTCATATATTTTATATATAAAATAATTATACATGTAACGATATATATGTAATTTATATCAAAATTAAAAATATTTTAATAAAATATAAAATCAATTTATTATAGTATTAAAATATATTTCTTCTGTCCCAGAAAAAATGTCCAAATTATCGTAGATACAGAAATTTAAGTAAAATATAATTAGTAAGTAAATAAAAAGTGTATTAGTAAAAATAATTATTATATAATAAAAATAATTATATATTTAGACTAAAATAACTGAATAATTTAATAAAAATAAAAAAATTTATAAATGGTACTGAATTTTAAAATGTAATTACAATATATAATTATATTTTTTTTAAAAATGATAAATTATGTGAAACAGAATAAAAACAATGAACACTTATATATTTGGGTTGAATGAATAAAAATAGTAAAACAAAAAATACTTATAGTGTATAAGAGAGTATTATGCATGACATAAAATAAATAATATTTTTCCCGTCACAATACAATAGTCATGTTTATCATTTTTGTCAATCTTAAAACAATAGTCTTATTTTCGTAAATAATCATATCACTATGAAACTACCCTTACTTTCTCATTATTATTACACAATTGTCACTACTTTTTACAGTAATACACTCACAAGGGCAAAAAAGTCTTTTGCATGTACCTTTTACCTATTACTAATATAATATCAATATTTCTTAAATCTCGTGTCAAACACAATCCATACTATAATTTTGGAACGGATGAAGTATTTCATTCGTCCAAGTTAATTAGAGTAGAATACACGGACACGTAGATTAATAAATAATACTTCATTCGTCCCTTAACAATCTATCCATTTTTCCATTTTGGTCCGTCCCATAACAAAGTATCCGTTTCTTTTTTTAGTAATTGTACTATCTATCTAAAATTACAAATATCCTTCTAATTTACAATATATTACACAAATGTCATTACCTTTATATCATACAATACTAATAAGGTTAATTTAGTCTTTTTACATTTATTTCTACTTTATCCTAATATAATACTAATATTTTTAAAATTTCGTACATAAACAAAATGAATAGATAGATTGGGGACGGAGGGAGTACTTAATATTTTAGTATAAAAATATGGTATGTATAATAAAAATAAGATAGATAGAAAGTAAAATTGAAATGTTATAAATATATATATATTAATGAGTTAATAATAAAATAGTGGGGTAAGTAAAATAAGTGGCTACAAATTCATTATTATTTGTAAAAATATACATAATAATAAAATTGTGGATGAATATTTCTTTATTATAAATAATTATATAGAAGTTTAGTGGATAGTAAAAGAGAATGTGACAAGAAAAAAATGTATTTAAATATGTTATATTTTTATTTTAATTTTTTTATGAAAAGGGTTATTTGTTTTTATAAGACATAAATAATCTCTATCACTATTTTTCAATTACAATTCTCAAAAAATAATAAAAATAATAAAAGATATTTTCTACAAAAATCAAAAAGTATGAAAAATAATAATAAACTTCAAATGTCTATTACAAAAAATTAAAAAGTCAAATATTCAATTTAAAATAATATATTTTATATTTTTAACATAATTTATCATATCAGACATATAAAAAAAATAAATTCATCTAAAAATAAATAAGTCAATTATTTATCATTGAAATTTATATGATTTTTTTTTTTTTCAATTGTTATAATATATTTTTAATATTTTTGTTTCAATAGTACTTTTATAAATTTTTTGAGTTAACATAGTATATTTTTAATATAATTATATATAAAAATAATAATATCAATTTTAATTAAAATCTCTATATATATTTAAGTATATTCATAGATATTTTAATGATACATTGTAATTTGAAGGGTCAATTGCATGTGTGAACAAATGATAATAATTTGTTTATGGACATCCTTAGTATTAATAATATTTAATAAAAAAAATAAAAAAATTTCAAAGGATACTTTTCCGACCTTGCTCGGATTGCGACAAAACAATTCCTAGTCGAGGATATATAAATAAATATATATATATATATATTACATTTTATAATACATACGAGACAAATATTAGCATCATTTGTATTTTGGGGTTTATTAGTTTTCTCAAAATACTATAAATTATTTTCAATAAAATTATTATTATTATTATTATTATTATTACAAAATACTTCTTCCGTGCCTTAATTCATTCATTTTTTTATCTGTCTCGTAACAAAATATTCATTTTTTTTAGTAGTTGTACTAGATCTGTCTCGTAACAAAGTATTCATTTTTTTTTAGTAGTTGTACTATCTACCTAACATTACAAACATTAGAGCCGGAAAAAACTGACCCGACACGGCAACCCGACATGAAATAATTGGGTTTTGGTTAAAGATTTAAACCCGTTTATGTATACGGCTTGACACGAACCCAACACGATAATAAAGGGGTCGGGTTAGGGTTGAGGCTTCCAACTCGAACCCGACATGATAACCCGATTATAATATATTAATATTGATTAATATATTTATTATATATGTAAAACAATCATAATTTAATAATTTTCTCATAAATTAATTTAAACTAAGTTCAATTTTAAATAATTCAGTATAATTTACGCTCAAACCAATAAAAACTAATATAACACAACAAGACGACAAAAAATAATTTAATTTTGAATAAAGAATTTAGACTAATTATGTATGCGAGTCAACACGAATCAACCCAACCCGACACGATAATAAACGGGTCGGGTTAGGGTTGAGTAATTTAACTCGTTTAAAGTATTCAACCCGACACGAATCGACCAATTACCAGCTCTAACAAATACCCTTTCAATTTACAAAATATTATACAGATATCATTACCTATATATCATGCAATATTAATAAGGGTGATTTAGTTTATTTACTTTTATTTCTACTACATCCAAATATAATACTAATATTTATAAAACTCCATATAAAAAATAAATGGATAGATAGATATAAAACAGAGGGAGTAGTTTGTCAAAATAGCAAAAAAAGTTCAATATAATTTGCGTAATTTGCTGAAAAGATTAATGGTCCTGAAATTTTATTTTATCTACATGTGGTTCAGATAATATTGTAAAAATGATCTCACCTACTAGTATTACGGAGATCGTAAAGCGCAAATATAATTTCAAATTCATAAATGCCAGGGGAAATGAAACTAATTTTAATAATACATAGGAGTATTTTTGTAATTTCATCTTATGTAATCTCCGAATTTGTAATAATAATTGCAATTTTCAGTGTGTCTTCGACCTTAATTAAGTACTATTTTTTGCAATATTATATGAACCACAAGCAGGTTAAATGAAATTTTAATGTCAAAATCTTTTCATCAAATTTTGTAAACTACATGAAATTTTTTTACTATTTTTTAAAATATTTTAGACTTGAATATATTCCATATTAAAAACGTTGAGAACTTTCTTTTAATTTATAAGGATGAATATTAATTATATTTATCACGAATTAATGAGTTTTTATTTAAATAATATAGTGCAAATCAAACACACTTAGAAGTTGAGTTTTTTTTATTCAATTTTTTTTTAGAAGTTGAATTTATTTATTCAATTTTATTATTTTTTTTGGTTAATTATCTAAACTTGTAAATATATTATTGACATGCAAATCTAGTGGTCGTATTTTTATTTTAAATTATTTAAATAATCTAAGTGGGAATTGAACTTACAATAGTAAATGTTTATAAGGACTTTACTATTAAACTATGTCTAAAATTTTGTTACTATTTCATTAGTTAATATATACTATATCCGCCTCAATTACAAAATAAACTTTTACTTTTGGAAAAATAATATTCTCTCGTCCTAATAATAGTCTTATTTATCATTTTTGTCTGTCTCAAAACAATAGTTTTATTTCTATAAATAATTATATCACCATGAAACTACCTATACTTTTTCATTTTTATTATACAATTGCTACTGTTTTTTACTCTAATACACTCACAAGGACAAAAAATTATTTTATCCATACTTTTTACCAACCATCAATATAATATCAATATTATTTAAATCTCGTGTCCAACCAAATTAAGATTATATTTATGGGACGGAGGGAGTAGTATTTTAATTGTGCGAGTAGCTTAATGATATTTTTGCTCTTACTTTTTAATGTAAAAGTAATTATGTGATGTAAAGTAAGAATATTTGTGAAAAAAGAGTTGGTATTTAATAAAATGGTTACTTTGTAATTGGACAGCCCAAAATAGAAATATGTATAATTTTTGATTAGACGGAAGAAACATTTTATATTAATTTTTTAAAATCGGGTCTGGCCAAGCACGGCCCAAAAAAAATCGGACCTATTTTTGGAGGTCCAAGCACGATCTTTTCTTGCAGATTTCTGACCGAAAATTTCAAATTGTGTCTATTTTGCCACCTCTATGCAAATCCAAGATTTACAATTAAAAGAAAAAATGAATGAAGTAAAAAAACACATTTTATAAGTCACATATATAACTCAATAATAGGAGAGAAATAAAAAAATTTATATATATATGTAAGGATTCGATCCAAATAAAATAATATTATTAGTGTTAAGTTAATTCAATTCTAACAAATATTGTTAAAATATTTATTTATGATGTTCTTTTACTATCACGTATATTATTTATTTATGTTTTATATTTGTATTATATTAATAAAAAAAATTGACAAGATATGTGAAATACAATTTTAAGGCATATAGTGCATTCATTCATTATAATTACTAGGTTTTATTTAACTTTATGTATTTTTTATATTTATGTCACGTGTAGTATATCTTTTTTATTACTACTTGTGACTGTATAATGTCCTAAGTTGTATTTTTATTATATTAATATAGAACCGATAAAATATTATGTGTGTATTCTTTGTGGAATTTTGATTTTGTGTTTAGGTGTTGAACGGTAAAATTTTGAATTAAAATAGTTGCATGTGATATAAGTATGTATTGATGTGATATTTGAATATAAAATTAAATTTTAATGTAATATAATAAATAAAAAAATAAATATTTGATTTGATATTTTTTTTAAAAAAATAGAATAATAAAATCAAAACCAAAATTATACAAATAAAGACGTTCTTAAAGATATCATTGATTTCAATGCATGGACAACACAACTATATATTTTTATTTAATATTTTACGTGGCATACGTCTTGCTAGCTGTCGGTATTGAATTTTAAAATCAACACACTAACAATGGTCATATATTCGTGGGGTTAAATTATATAGGGTAAACTGTTTTTTAACTCCCGTAATTGGACTCCTTATCATTTTAGTCCTCTAAATGGAGTTTGTTGCAAACTAGTTTTATAAGTGAAAAATTTTCATTGTTTTAGTTCTCCGGCGCCGGAGATGCCCACGTGGCTCGCCGGAAGTCACGTGTCCGCCAGGTGTCCACCTCGCGAGACACCTGGATTTTATTTTATTTTTTCATTTTTTTATATTGGACCAAATAAATAAAAATAAAAATAAAAATAAAAAAGAAAATCTACGTGTCCGCTAGCGACACATGACGGACACGTAGCCTCCGGCGAGCCACGCGGGCATCTCCGGCGTCGGAGGACTAAAACAGCGAAAAACTTTCACTTATAGGACTAGTTTGCAACAGGTTCTACTTATGAAACTAAAATGATAAAGGATCCGGTTACGGAACTAAAAAAAATAGTTAAAAAAACAATTATATAATATCCTACACGTTTCAGTAAAATATATAAACTATTTTGTATTTTATTTATTGAATAAAATTCTTCAACATTAAATTAAAGTACCCACAAAATATATTTTTCATTCAAAGTTATTTGATTCTGAATGCATTTAATTATGAAAATTTTATCCAAATATAAAAGATAAATTATTTCAAGTAATATTTTTTAATAAAATAAATAACTAAATAATTTATCTCAATATTTCTTTTGAGACGAAAAATTTAATCAATTATTAATTATTTCTTTCTTTCGTTCCATTGAAAAATTGTAGTTAGTAGATTTTTAAATATTAATATTATATTTTATTATAATAAAAAGACAAAAATATGTATTGTGTAATATAATATTAATAATATTTGTGTAATACTCTTGAACTATATAATTTGTCCATATTTTTTATTTTCGTCCGTTTCACCTAATTTGTCTTTTTTTTTAAATATAATTATACATTTTAATCGTATTTTAAATTTTATAATTTTTTAATCTTAATTAAATTATTTAGTTATTTTAAACTTAATCTATAATTATTTTTACTATATAATAATTATTTTTACTAATATACTTCTTAATTACTTGTTATTATATTTTAACTAGATTCTCGTGTCTACAGTAATAATCTCAAATTACATGAGAAAAATGGAGTATATTGACCGACAAAAATAAAAAAATCGCAACCCTTCAATAGAAGAGAGTGAATATTTTTTTCAATTAAGGGTGCGTTTATTCGAAGGATTTGTGTGGATTTATATTATTCACCCAAATTTTTCTCTAAAAAAACATCAAATCAAATTCTTATTTTTTATTTTTTATATTATACTAAAAATTAATTTTATATTAAAATATAAAATCAATACATATTTATATCACATCATACAATAATTCAAATTCAAATATTTTATTATTCAAATCCTTAGACAAACACACCCTGAGATTATTGGGTATGTTTCTTTACCCCAAATTTTTAAAATTTTACTACTTGGATTCTGCATTTTTCAAAAAAAAAAAAAAAAAAAACATTTTTTCCTCTTACAAAATATCTCATCAAACATCATTTTAATACCAAACTCAAACCAAAATTTTACTAATCTTATCAAAAGAAACATACCCTTAAAGATATTTTACATTTTGATGAAATTTGCATAATTATGTATGGATTTACAATTCAACATCATTTTTGGTAGCGCCATAACCAGTGTGAAAATGGAGATATGAAAATCACGTGTAGACAGACTCACCACGGAAGCAGTGACAGTGACAGACGAAACGACGTCGTCCGTTCGCTGAAATTCGCAACAAGTGGAAAAGAAGCGCAGTCAATATCTCCATTTTATTATTTCGATCCTTTTCACTATAAACAATGGAGGAAGAATCTTTTGAGGTCAGTTTCGATTGCAATAATGGCGTTTCCATGAAATTATCCCCAATTCAGTTCTGTTCAAACGTAGGGTTAAGAAACTTCGCCGTCATTTTCAAAATCGAATTATAATAATTATTATAATACTCACAAATAATTCACCATCGTCGTCTCGATGAGTCAACTCGTCTGAGAGAGAGATATGCAAACCGCCGCGAGGACGGCGTGGCGGTGGCGGCTTCTGGCCGCCGATTTGGCAATGTCGTTCATGTGGGTGTGGTCCAGCGTTTTGAACAAGGTTTTCGTGCACAGGGTTTTGGGCTACGGCGCTCACCAATTGGACGGGGAAATCGTCCGATACGCGGTTTCGATTGCGAATATGTTCTTCTTCGCCTTCCTGGGGAACGCCACCGGCGGTGGCTACAATCCGCTCTCCATTTTGGGGTCTGCCATTGCCGGCGATTTCTCCAACTTCGTCTTCATTGTTGGGGCCAGAATCCCTGCGCAGGTTTACCCTCCTCCCCTTGTTCTTTATTTTGGATTCCAATTAGGGTTTTTGATTTGGGGCTTTTTGAGAAATTGTGTTTATTTTAATTATTTGTGTTCCAGAATGTTTTTGATAATTTGGTTTATCTTGGATGTGAATTTCTTGTAATTGAAAATAGACTCTAGATTTGATTTTCAAATAGTCACAAAAACATTTGAAAACACAAACAAGAATGAGAGAAATTTCTTCATTGTTTGAATTTGAACTTGAGCTTGAACTTGATAATTGAACTTCAAAAAATAAAAAGAAAAAGAAAACCTCGATGACCTAATTTGAGCAACACCTTTACCTCATAATTTGTTAATGAATTACCATGAATACGAGTTAAGTTTGAGCCCTATACGAACTAAGTTCTACCATGAATATCTTGACTCGGTTTAGAGTTTATTACAGCCTTAATTTAAACTTGAAAGCTAAATTGATTTTGATATAAATCATGTTGTGTTCGATCCACGATATTGTGTCCCAATTTATGTGATTGGTAATGAAGTCGTTTTGCTTAAGCTGTTCTAATGCCGTACAAAGGATCGTAATACTTGAACAAGTATCTCAATGATCTAAAGTTTCCAATTTATCTAAATAGAATTTGGAATTAATTTGGTTTCGAGACATTTTTCTGTATGCCGATTTGATTGTTCTACTTATATGATTTCTAGATGACTAATGCTACCTTTGCTTCTATTGTGAGAATACTGGCATTTTGATTGAGTTCAATTTACGGGATTATGAAGGATTGTTTGTGATTTTTGGTGGGATTAGTGTATGAAAATTAGGATAGATGATGACATTCAAATGGAGACCCGAGAAACAATATGTTAGCTTACTACATTGTTGAAATGAATTGGTAGCAAGAATCGAATTCTATGAGCTCGCTCGATTTGAATGGGGGACTAGTCATTGTTGTGATATTTTTTAATATCCTCTGGCCGCATGAAAAAACAAAATGTGAATAATGATTTATTTTGGGTGTGTTTGTTTATGGGATTTTTCCAAAAATCTATTATTTATCAAAAAATTTCCTCTTAAAAATATCAAATCAAATAATTATACTAAAAATCAATTTTACATTCAAAATATCATATTATACAACTATCCCAATTCAAAATTTTTACTATTCAAATTCTAACCCCAAAACAAACACACCCTTTGTTGTCTGTGATTTGACATTAGCCCCCGGGTCGAATCGGGATTAGGTAGAGTTGTGATAGCTTAATAGTAAGATGTATGTTGTTTTTGAATTTCATATACACTTCCGATCGGCTGTTCTTTTGTCAACCTTATTGGTTTTCTATTTCTTTTCCGAAGATTGTCGGCTCAATATACGGTGTTAGGCTCATCCTCAACACTTTCGACGGGATAGGACGTGGGCCCCGCTTGAATGTGGATGTTGCAAAGGGCGCCTTAACCGAAGGCATGCTCACATTTGCTATTTCGAGCATTTCCATGATGCTAAATCGAAAAGTCTCCGATAGTTTCTTCATGAAGACATGGATTTCGAGCTTATCCAAGCTAACACTCCACATACTCGGTTCCGACCTGACTGGGGGTTGCATGAACCCGGCCTCGGTAAGTAATTCTTATACTTTTCGAGATACACTTGGCATTTAGATGATAAAGATTACATTGTTCTTATTTTAATTATGGTATTATATAATTTACACTAAAATTGTCATTTTAAATACGTTTAGGGTGTGTTTGTTTGGGGATTGAATTTTAAATACACTATTCATCTCATTTTTTTTTCCCAAAAACATCAAATTAAACACTTATTTTTTATTTTTTATATTATACTAAAATCAATTTTACATTCAAAACATCACATCAACACCTATTTATATCACATCATACAACTATTCAAATTCAAAATTTTTACTATTCAAATCCCAATTTAAAATCCAAACTCCCAAACAAACACGCCCTTAGACGCTTAGTGTCTATTCAAGTCCCCGTCTACTTTGATAGCATACATGATGATGCACAACTAGTGATGGATGCTAATAGTTGTAAATTTTTCGGACTTGTTTGTTTTGACGACAAAAATGTTGCAAAGCGGGTTTATTCTAAGAAAATTAATATTATTCGCTTTGCATAATTTTCAATAAAAATACATCATTTTCTGTTATAAAACATCACATCAAATACTATTTAAACAAAAATTCAAAATCAATACCTAATTTCAAATCAATTATAAACCACAACTATTCAATTAGTCCTAATTGAATTTGGTGTATCTTGGGAATGATATTATAATTAGGTTTCCTAGCTCGACTAATAATGTATGTGTTTGTCTATATTTTGGTGTTTTCGATTTTTGAAATAAAAATGAACGATGGATGTGATGTTTTGAATAGAAAATGGTTGTTGGATGCTATGTTTTGAATGGAAAATGATCGTCAGATATAGTCTTATGAGTAGATCATGAGCATTGGATGCTATATTTTGACTGGAAAATAGGCGTTGTTCGGAGTGACACTTTTGGAAAGAAGATAGAAGCAAACTATAGATTGAATAGTGCCAAAATGAAAACGAAAAAACTTAAATAGACGCCTTAATTGCTTATTTTCTTTTTAGATGGATGTAGTTTTGAAATGTACATATTTTTGTGCTTACTTAGGTATTGGGTTGGGCGTTCGCCAACGGGGAGCACATCACGAAAGAGCATTTGGTCGTTTATTGGCTTGCGCCAATGGAGGCCGTTCTTTTGGCCTCTTGGGTGTCCAAATTGATGTTCCCGACCAAGATGGACAGCGACCGTGCTCGTAGGAAGGATGAGGATGGGAATGACGACGGCCTCGAGGGCAAACATGGAAAGTTAAGTTAAATTGATGGAAGATTTGATTGTTCTTGTAAGTTTGCCACATTGTCTTTATTGATGGATTAAGTTCTTAGAAATATATTTGCCAAAGGTTTGATTTAGACAAGTTCTTGAAGTTCTATGTAGTTTTTATACCTAATGAAATTGTATGTATTTCAAAATTGGTTTGTGCCTTTTTTACTATTTAAATATGATCTCAAGTCCAATAAGTTGTTTGTTTGAATGTAATTCACAATTGTTATCTTCCTAATACCTTAAAGAGTCAATTTCTGATCGAAACTAGCATGACTTAGGAGGTATAAATTTTAATTCGATTATAAGATTATACAATTACTAATAAAAAAATACATTTAACATATTTATCAAATATTAGAAAAAAAAAAAAAAAACATAATAAAAGTTATCCCTTTATATATCAATATTTTTAATAGAAAAAATATTCCCTCTATCCGCTTACAATTTATTCCTTTTGTCATTTTAGTCTGTCTATAGCAGATGTATCCATTTTTACATTCCACTAAAATATAAAATTATCCACCTTTTATATAATATTACATAAATGCTATCAAATAACACCACTTAATACCATAAATATTAATGGATATATTAGTTTTATGTATATTAATTATACCACAAAGTAAACGTGTAGACGGAGGAAGTATCATTTTTATCCGTCACACTCCAAAGTATTACTTTATCAAATATTTAAAAAATAATACTCCCTCCGTCCCAGATACCGTGTCTGCTACACCGTAGACACGATATTTTAGAAGAGGTATAATTAGTAGATAATTAATAATATATTAGTAAAAATAATTATCCTATAATATAAATAATTAAAAATTAAGATTAAGATAACTAATTAGTTTAATTAAAATTAAAAAATTTAAAATGAAATTAAAGTGTGTAATTATTTTTCAAAATATGGTATGTGAAACGGACAGAAACGACAACCTGGACATGCTATCTGGAACCGAGGAAGTAAAAACTACCTCACTCAAATAAAATTACTATTTCAAAACACTTTGTCAATGACAAACTGTAATGCTATCTTTTTAATAATTTATTTTCTATTTCATTTTTGTAATATCTGTATATTCTTCCAACAAAATATCATTTCAATTAAAAATAAATTAAACAATAAATCAACAATTATTTGAACTCTTCTTCAACGATACAATTCTTATAATTCCCAATCAAAACAAAGCTATTTATTTTTCAAAAAAACATTACAACTAAATAACAATTCATAAAAAAATAAATAAATAAATAAAAGTAAAATATTTTTTAAAAAAAAAAAAATCACCAACTAAACACGTAAAATACAACATAATTCTAACACATTTCTTACACGAACATCCAACATTACAATTTTAAAACAAATTCGACATGCAATCCATCATTCATTCGACACAAACAAAGAAAGATCGAAAATTAAAAACTTAACATCAACAACAAAAGACAAAGAGTCATTCCCAACACCTAAAATAAGGAGCTACGCCTCGACGAGTTCCCAAGCCAAACTTCTAACATCACCTCGAATATTACAAAAACTATGACCAATTTTATTAGACAACTAAGAAACAGACATCCATCGATCCATCCATCCTAGTACATTACTGAATCCGCAACTATCGAGCACTTCATAAACTTAAAATCGAACATCATCTTCATCCACAAATAATCCCTCCTCGGCCCTTAGAAAAAACATCGACAGTTTATGCAGTACCCCCTACCTATTCAATAATTAATTAGCAACATCCGATCAAAGAATAATAATAATAATAATTAATTAGCAACACCATTTCGTCGGTACAAAAGATAACAAGTCAAATTCAAAAGGAATTTAAAATTGCTTATAATACACCCATAATTTAGAAAATATTTCACGTAATCCTCTAAAAATTGCATAAAGCCCCATCTGTTTTCAAAAATATTCACAACATCCCTTTAAAAAAATACGAGGGAGTTTACGCAGTTTCTAAATCATCGTAAAAAATAATGCAGACTTTTCAAACCATAAGTGAGTTATAATCAATTTTTCCGAAACAATTTAAAATATCACATGATTTTTGCAAGCAAGAAACAAAAGAATGAGTCGAAAAATGCACCTACTCAAATCACCAACGAGCAATTTAAACATTCAATCCCATTCTTGTCTTTTAGGCTCTGTTTGTTTGTGGGTTTTCAATCCGAACTTTATTATTTACTCTATTTTCTATCCAAAAGACATCAGATCAAACTAATATATTTTATATTATACTAAAAATTAATTTTATATTCAAAATATCGACTAACTATTCCTTCAAAGGTTTCCTATTCAAAATCTCAAACCTAACTTCAAAACTAATCATTTTCATAAAAACTCAAGGATTGAGAATGCAAAATCCTAATTAACAAGACTTTGAAGCAGCCGAAGTTGATATAAATTAGGATTTTTTATGCTTAATTTGTGAATTTATGAAAATAGCACCCCTAATTTATCAAATAAAATATTTCATAGTTCGTTCACTAAGCTAAACGAACAAACATGAACACAAATTTCAATACGCTATATTTACAAATGAGCTCGTGTTCTTCAAGAAATTAAATTAATACTTTTGTGTCTAAAATTTACATATTTTACTAATATTACACTAACTCAAATTTCTACCCAAAAAATTATCAATAAAATTGATAATAATGTTTATGTAACTAAAATATTCATTGAATATAACCTTGGATCAAAAAAATTACAGTGAAAACTTTGCAGCCGAGTCCATGAAAATCTCAGTTTAGTTTGGCTCCATTCGAATGTACGAAAAATTAGATTTTCATAAACATACTAAGAGCAAATCAAAAACCAAAGCCTCGGCATTCTACAAACCAATGCATTAAACATAAACTCGGACAAAAAATGCTTCACAAAGAATTTCAGCTAACAAGTTCACGGATACGAATTTTGGCAGATAAGAAGTTAAATTAAATTTAAGCGACTGTAAAATGACTGAGCATGAAGTTTAAACACTTAAACAGCCCTATAAATTAATTCCGAATAAATTTCAAGTAGGATAGAAAGCAAAAATAACTAACCTTTATTCCCCAGAAGAGATCAATGGAAGAACCCGCGGCACTTCGAAGATCCACATAAGCATTTCTTCTTCGCCTTGCGCCCTTTCTCAGGCGGAACAATCCCATAATCATAAACCAGCTCTTGCATAGGAGGAATGTGCTGAATTGCGAAGAACGCAATATGAAGAAACACATCGTTGTTACTCTGGCGCAACACCGGCTGCCAGTAGACGTTCGGTGAACAGCTATGGTTCATAAAACGCGACACATTTCCGTTGTCTTTTGCGCTTATGATAAGCGGGAAAGGGGATTTTTCGGCGCCATTCGAATCCTGAACCGGCTCAATCGGCTCGAAGTTCCGGGTAGAATCGAATATATATTCGTCGCTCTCGTTCGCGAAACCTGCGTCAGTAGGCTTAATAATATCCCCGGCATACTCGCAGATAAACCCCCCGGCCCGAATCGGGTCCCAAGACCTCAGCCCCCAGCCTCGACTCTTCGTCTTGAAAACCTCGAGACGAAGACGGATACCGACTTGAGATATTCGGTTCCGGCAAGTTATCGGGCAAGAGCAGCTTTGTGCGCACTCGTGTATTACCGATTTGCTACTTAGAAGAACGCCGATAGACGAGTACGGGAGAAACCCGTCGTTTTTCTGATTGCAAGGGCAGTGAGTGTCGCCGGCTTGACACCCGTTTAAGCAATGGCATCCGACGGAGGCGTCAGGGACGGAAAACGGTTGCAAGTATCGCAGGTGCCGGACGTACGTGAAATGCGCGGGACCCTTCTCGTTGTCGACGTCGTTCACGAGCGCGACGGGAAGAGACTCGGCTCCCGACGTGAGGTCTGGGATAATAATTCCGGCCCGGGCAGTCGTCCCGTCCTTCCATTGCTGAATCGATTTCCATAACGAAAACGCCTCGGGCTGCCCGGGTATCCGAACCAACTTATACTTAAAAACGGTGCATCCCGACTTGTTCTTTTCGATCCACGACTCCTGGATTTTATACAAGCCATCATAAACATAAATCTTTCCGGTACCGTGAGCCAAGTCCTTAATACCCCGCACGACTCGTACATCATTCCCTCGATGAAGACTCTTTTCTAGCGCAAGATTCCCCCTTTCGAGCTTCTGATCGAACATTTGCCCGTCCCGTCGCTGCACTCCGCCTTGGCCGCTATAAATTAAGATATCGCTATCGTCACCGTTATCATCGTATCCTCCTGATGAAACGATGCTGACGGCGAGAGGCTCTTCGTCCATCGTAACCTTGACGCTCATGTAATCGATCCCAGCCATGCTCGGAGCGTGCAAACCGACGATACAAAGCTCCATTCGAAAGAAAAATATGTCTCCGATTTCGATCCCGGGAACATGGCCGATTCTCTTCATCGCATTCGCCCGAATCCCTTTCGTCATCAACAGATTCGCTGCCTTCAAATCGGGACGTTTCGCCGTCCCAGGAGCCGTATCCTTCAGCTCGTCGAGCTGAGTGAGCCGTCTCCGGAGCGCGTCGAAGGCTCTAAGCACGACCGTTGACGTCTCCACGTCACCGATATTTCTCCTCAACTCTTCGATTCCGTGAAGCTTGAACGACGTCAGAATCGCATTCACCACTGTTTCATGAACAACGTCCTCGTGATTCTCCTCTCCGGACGCCTCCCGCCGGCCCGTCTTCTTCGGCCGGCCGCGGCGCTTCCCGGAAGTATCGCCGTCGTCGGGATGAAACCCGCTCTGAGACTCGCTAAACCCGTCGTCCTCGCCGCCCGCCGCCGACCCCAATCCGCTCGACTTATTATACTTTCTCGGCCGGCCGCGGCCGTTCGACTTCGGAGTCGGGGTTCGAAACGAATTTAGCGGCACCGGAGCAGGTATGGAGCTGCCGAAACCAAAGTTTCCGGCTTGGGGGGCGGGGGCAGCTTGGGGGGCGTCGTTCTTAGCCAGGAATGGGTAGAAAGGTTGGACGCCGGCCGGAAATGGCCCCGCCGGCGAAACGCACACGAAAGGCGTCGGGTGAGGCGTCGTCACCGACGACATTCCCGGCGGATTCGGAAACACTGGTACGAGACATCGCAGGGGCTTCACTTCCAACACCTTAGACTTATCGATTCCAGCATTCGATCCAACTCCATTCTCCATTGAAACACAGTACTTCTAAATACACAACAACAATATTCACTTCCCTATATATATAATTATCCCCAAAAGTTCCTAATCCTAAACCCTTAAAAACAGATCCAACAACAGCAGCAGCAGGAGGAGAAGAAGAAGAGCCAAATTGATGTTTCAATCCTGCACAATAAGATCAATTCCTGTAAGGAGAAGCTTCCAGAAACATTTTATCGCGTCAATTCAAAATCAAACCAAAACCCTAAAAATCGCACCGAAACCCTAATTTTCACCCCTTAGAACAAATTAACCGAAATTAGCAACAAAATGAAACTCGAAAGCACAGAAACGCGTCCCAAACAGCGACAAGAATGAGATTAGCAGAAGAAAATGAAAATAAAAATCCAAATAGATGAAAAATAAATGAGCAGCGAAGGAAAGGTTGAAGACGACACTACCGACGGTGACTGAAACGAATACAGCTTCAAAGATGCGGAGGATCTGTGTGGTTTCTCACCGAAACGCCGATTGGAAGGTTTCTTGAAAGAAAATGGAGATCTTGAAAATGGAGTGGAGAGAAAAAAGGTGTGCTTTTGAAATCGAGCGAGGTTCATTTCTCACTCTGTTTCCTCTTTGTGTGTAATAAAGGCATTTCTTTTTTTAAATTATTTCATTTATTTTTTCCATTTTAAATTTATGAGTTAGTTTGTAAATACGTATTTTGTTGGTAAAAAATATATATATATATATATATTTATTTTGTTTGAATAAAAAGAATATTAATATATGTTCTTCGATTTAAAAAAAAAAAAGAAAAAAAAAAGACAAGTTTAGTATTAATACGATTTTTTAAAAAATATTTGAATCAAAATTAATATTATTTATAGTTTACATTTTGTATAGTCACATTAAAATTTTTTATTTTTTTTCGTCATATTTTTTTTAAAAAAATATAATTATACATTTTAATTTCATTTTAAATTGATAATTTAAATTTTTTTAATATTAATTAAATTATTTAGTTATGTTAATTTTAATTATAAGTATATTATATAATTATTATTTTTACTAATATACTTTTTAATTAACTACTAATTATATTTTATTTAAATTTTCGTATATATAACAAAGAGCACAATTTATCGAAGGCAATACAAAATATCATATCAAATTAATAAGTATTTAATTTAAAATATTTTTTATATTATTAATACAATTCCTCCTATTTAATAGTAAAAAATATTCCAAACAAACAATTCAAAACAAACACACAACTTTTTAATAAAAATATAATATTTTTAAAATAAAATTTTTGTTATTATCTATCGAAAATTATAAAAATTATAATACTATTATTTAGATAATATTTATTGTTATTTTTAGATATTTTATTATAAAAAGTATAAAACACTATTATTTAAATACTACTATTTATTGTTATTTTGGTTATTATTTATTTAGTTATAGTTTGATTTAAAATGAAATGTTAGTATGAATTTTTATTTAAATAATATTTTAATATAATATTTTATATATATATAAAATAGTACTATCTCCGTGATAATTATTTTTCATTTTTTTTTTGGTTATGTGCTAAATTTAGGCATATTATTCGTCTACAATTTGATTAGTTTGTTTTAATAAATAATAATTAATTTATTATTACTTTTTTATTTATTTTATTATTACTTTTTTTTATATAAATTTTGTATAATATTTCAACTTCACTCTTTACATATCTCATTTTTACGTTAAATTATTATTATTATTTTTTTTTATGTCCGAATCTTGTTGCATAATTAGTGTAAAATAAAAAAAATATATTTTTATTAAGAATGATGCCTATTGAATAATAGTATAATTTATTATTTGAAATTTTTTAAAAAAAAAAACTACACTTGTTTTGCTTTCTAAATAACTAGTGTCTGTTTTGTAAAATATTTTGAAATGATAAATTTTTATATGAGGTGTAAAAACAAGTAAATAGATAGTATAAAAAAACAATAAGGATGTTGAGAGAGTTAGACGCAATATTTATGAAATCACATGAGAGTTTGACATATATTTTGAAATATGGAGAATTTAGTAATTTCATAAAATCACATATACATACATATATATATACTAGAACACGCTCTTGCGCAGTATATCGCGCGACTATTCTATAATGTAATGTAGTGAAACATTATTTATTTGAAATATAAACTGTAAAACAAAAATACAATCGAATTATTTGCGCTCAGGTCGGTTGATCCTCGGTCGGTTGGTCTGGTCGGTTGTCAGGTGGGTTGGTTAGCTGTCGGATAGGCAGGTCGGAAGGTCCTCGGTCGGTTGGTTAGCGGTGGGATAGACAGGTCGGAAGGTCCTCGGTTGGTTGGTCTGGTCGGATGGTTAGCGGTCGGACAGACAGGTCTGATGGTCAGCAGGTCGGACAGACAGGTCTGATGGTCTGCGGTCGGATAAAGTAGGTCGGCTGGTCTGCGGTCGGATAGGCAAGTCAGCTGGTCCGCAGGCGGATAGATTGAGATAAGAAGGGTGACCCTGCATCTCTAGTTTTGAAATGTCAAAAATAGCAAAGATATTTCAACTTTGATAATTGTTACGCACAAATAATAATAATAATAATAATAAAAATAAGGATAGCAGGATCTTAAAGAAAGTTAGATACAAAGTCGGGTGGAAATGGAGAAAAATTTGCGCTCAGGTTAGTTGGTCGGATGGTCAGATGGGTTGGTTAGCGGTCGGATAGGCAGGTCGGAAGGTCCTCGGTCGGTTGGTCTGGTCGGTCGGTTAGCGGTGGGATAGGCAGGTCGGAAGGTCCTCGGTCGGATTGTTAGCGGTCGGACAAACAGGTCTGATGATCTGCGGTCGGATAAAGTAGGTCGGCTGGTCTGCGGTCGGATAAAGTAGGTCGGCTAGTCTGCGGTCGGATAAAGTAGGTCGGCTAGTCTGCGGTCGGATAGGCAAGTCAGCTGGTCCGCAGACGGATAGATTGAGATAAGAAGAGTGACCCTGCATCTCTTTATGAGTTTTGAAATGTCAAAAATAGCAAGGATATTTTAACTCTGATAATTGTTACGCACAAAAAATAATAATAATAATAATAAAAATAAGGATAGCAGGATCTTAAAGGAAGTTAGACATGAAGTCGGGTGAAAAAGGAGAAAAATTTGTGCTTAAGTCGGTTGGTCAGGTGGGTTGGTCGGATGGTCAGGTGGGTTGGTAAGCGGTCGGATAGGCAGGTCGGAAGGTCCTCGGTCGGATGATCAGGTCGGTTGGTTAGCGGTGGGATAGGCAGGTCGGAAGGTCCTCGGTCGGATGGTTAGCGGTCGGACAGACATGTCTCATGGTCTGCGGTCGGATAAAGTAGGTCGGCTGGTCTACGATCGGATAGGCAAGTCAGCTGGTCCGCAGGCGGATAGACTGAGATAAGAAGGTGACCCTGCATCTCTTTATGAGTTTTGAAATGTCAAAAATAGCAAGGATATTTCAACTTTGATAATTGTTACGTACAAAAAATAATAATAATAAAAATAAAAATAAGGATAGCAGGATCTTAAAGGAAGTTAGACACGAAGTCGGGTGGAAAAGGAGAAAAATTTGCGCTCAGATCGGAAGGTCCTCGGTCGGTTGGTCCTTGGATGATCAGGTCGGTTGGTTAGCGGTCGGATAGGCAGGTCAGAAGGTCCTCGGTCGGTTGGTATGGTCGGCTGGTCCTCGGTAGGATGGTTAGCGGTCGGACAGACAGGTCTGATGGTGGTCTGCAGTCGGATAGGCAAGTCAGCTGGTCCGCAGGGGTAGACTGAGATAAGAAGGGTGACCCTGCATCTCTTTATGAGTTTTGAAATGTCAAAAATAGCAATGATATTTCAACTTTGATAATTGTTACGCACAAATAATAATAATAATAATAATAATAATAATAATAAGGATAGAAGGATCTTAAAGGAAGTTAGACACGAAGTCGGGTGGAAAAGGAGAAAAATTTGCGCTCAGGTCGGTTGGTCAGGTCGGTTGGTCGGATGGTCAGGTAGGTTGGTTAGCGGTCGGATAGGCAGGTTGGAAGGTCCTCGGTCGGTTGGTCTGGTCAATTGGTCCTCGGTCGGATGATCAGGTCGGTTGGTTAGCGGTCGGATAGGCAAGTCGGAAGGTTCTCGGTCGGTTGATCTGGTCGGTTGGTCCTCGGTCGGATGGTTAGCGTTCGGACAGACAGGTCTGATGGTCAGAAGGTCGGACAGACATTTCTGATGGTCTGCGGTCGGATAAAGTAAGTCGGCTGGTCTGCGGTCGCAAAGGCAAGTCAGCTGGTCCGCAGGCGGATAGACAGGTCGCTTGGTGGGTGCGGCCAAGGAGTCTTTTGGTCTACCGATTGGTCTCTGGATTGGTTGGGTGGGCTATTTGAGTTCTGGAACTGGTGGAGGCGTTTGGCGAGGCGGTTGATGTAACTGACCTGACAACGTTCCAAAACGTTTCGTCTTGGGCGGTTGACGACGGTTCCAAAACGTCTTTTCAAGCCAGTACAAAGGTAGGTTAAGGGCTAAATTGTCATTTTTGAAATGAGGGGTAAGATAGACTTTTCAAGTGGCAGATCCGTACAAACTCGTATTTATAAGATATAATATATGAATTTTGTGCAAATTTTGCCTAATAATAAAAATAAATATTTTAATAATATTTTGAAATAATATCTTTGTCCATAAATTTTGTGTTTATTGGAGTTGGACACCAATCCTAATGAATATATTAATATATTGATTTATTATAATATAAAACTTGATATTTTTAAAAATATATGAATAAGTGGTAATAATAATAATAATAATAATAATAATAAAATTGATCAATTGAGTACATAAAATATAGTGACATATTTATGAATAAGTATAATATTAAAATATATAAATTAAAAAATGTATAAAAAAATATTTATTATAAAAATATATATATACTATATTTTTTTATAGATGAATAAAAAAATAGATTTAATAGTCAAAGAGTAATAAAAATCAAAAAAATTAAGAGTCTATTTTTTTATAATTTTAAATTAAAATTAATATTATTTTTTTTGTACAATTTTTAATAAATATATATTATCTTTTAAAAAAACATCACATCAAAATACTATTTAAACAAAAATTTAAATCTAACCCTTTATTTTTAATCAATTTCAAACTACAATCAAACAAACTATAAATATACAATCTTATGCTTCTATTTTTTGGGTTTGGTTCTAATTTATAGTATCACTATTCATCAAAATATTTATTTTAAAGAATATCAAATTGAAAATATAATTTTCAAATATTATATTATAAATAAACAAAAATTAATCTAAAACATAAGACATTATTTAAATTTAAAATTTTATTATTTCAAACCATAAATTTATAAAGAAATATATATCGGATATTTATTCAATGTTTTTAATGTATACGATTTCTCAAAAAATACTATAAAAAAATATAAATATACATTTAATAATACAAACCAACAAAAAAATACAAAACATCATTTATTATAATACTGTCACAATTATGCAATACTTCGCAATAATTTTTTTAAAGCTATAAGGTCAACTCCAACCTAATGCATATTTACAGAGTCGGTTGTGCAACAATTGAGGGAGAGGG